TTCCTTTTAAACACATTATTTACAATAATTCATTATATAAAGTGAATGACAAGGAGGAATAACCTCTCTCCAAAGAAAACAAATAAACAGAGCCCTTCCGAGGACCAGTACACTTGACCTTGAAGTTTGGTTGAGTATTATTCTTTTAAATTGATTTTAATTCATTTTATCATTTTTAAAAACTCGTTTATTTAATCTTTCATTTCATTAGGCCCACATGGGGCAGATGGTTAGAGCATATACCTAAAATGGTTAGAGCTTCAGAATCTCTGTAAGTAAGGAGCTGATCCTTACATTGCGGGTTCTACAGCAGGACATTGTCCTTCTGATGAGATTTGTATAAACCGAGGTCCAGTGCATCTTCCCTAGCCAAGGGTTTCTGATACGCTACTCTCCTCATAAGCCCTTGGCATATGGTGTTCGAAAAAGTTGGGGATTTTTTTCTCAAGTTGTGATTGGAGTGGATAATATTGATCAACCAATCAGCAAATGTTTTTTTGTAAATGACGATATCTGCATTCGGAACATTACTCTTGGGAATGAAAAACGCAAGTAAACAATGATCACATGCTATTCTATGAATAGATATGGTGTCTATCTATATTAGTTTTTTTTTTCTGGATAACAAACAGCATTGGTCAGGAACATATAATGTAATGACAATAAGCTATGATCACATTAAGCAATTTATGTGTAAATATCCTACAGTACTTTTAATATTAGATGTAAATACCAACAAAACAAACAGTAATTTAAAACTGATTTTATTTTCATGTGTTACAAAGAGATTCTCAAAAAAGTTTTGACAAGGTTCTTCATTATGGATGGATAATAGCAACAAAAATGATAAAAAGAAACAATTAAATACAGGTCTTTAAGGAATGTTAATTACAGATCTTTTTAAGGAATGTCTTCTATTCAGATTATTCATTGTAAGAGATGCTTCATAACTTTATAATTTAGAGAATACTTTGCATTTACATGTTTACTCCATCTTCTCTTCACATGTAACACACAAGCAATACATAGCAATAAAAAACATAGGTAATCAGAGATTACAGAGCTCACCTCAACGAATGTTGTCTTTAAGTAAGGTAAAGTCACCCAATTAACCAACAAAAAGTGTACATTCCAAAAATGAAAATATTTAAGCAATTTTGATCTGATACTTTGAAATAGACCTACATAAAAAATTTAAACTAGTTCTTCTTCATGAAAATGTAATCAAAATCCAGCATCTGAAGCAGATGTATCTCTTGATGAAAACTTTAACCTGTTCACTCAACCAGAAAATGTAGGTCAGATTCAGCATCCGAAGCAAGCCCGGTAGTGTGCATCCTTAGATGTTTCATCCATGCAAGTTTGGTCAACATAGGGCTTATAGTTACTTGCAAATGAAACATACACCAAAAACTTTAACCTGTTCACTCATCCAGAAAATGTAGGTCAGATTCAGCATCCGAAGCAAGCCCGGTAGTATGCATCCTTAGATGTATCATCCATGCAAGTTTGGTCAACATAGGGCTTAAAGAAAATACTTGGAAATGAAACCTGCACCAAAAACTTTAACCTGTTCACTCAACCAGAAAATGTAGGTCAGATTCAGCATCCGAAGCAAGCCTGGTAGTATCCATCCTTAGATGTATCATCCATGCAAGTTTGGTCAACATAGGGCTTAAACTTACTTGGAAATGAAACCTGCACCAAAAACTTTAACTTGTTCACTCATGTAGGTCAGATTCAGCATCCGAAGCAAGCCTGGTAGTATGCATCCTTAGATGTATCATCCATGCAAGTTTGGTCAATATAGGGCTTAAAGTTACTTGGAAATGAAACCTGCACCAAAAACTTTAACTTGTTCACTCAACCGGAAAATGAAGGTCAGATTCAGCATCCGAAGCAAGCCCGGTAGTATCCATCCTTAGATGTATCATCCATGCAAGTTTGGTCAACATAGGGCTTAAAGTTACTTGGAAATGAAACCTACACCAAAAACTTTAACCTGTTCACTCAACCGGAAAATGTAGGTCAGATTCAGCATCCGAAGCAAGCCCCGTAGTATCCATCATTAGATGTATCATCCATGCAAGTTTGGTCAACATATTATAGTTACTTGGAAATAAATACACCAAAAACTGCACCAAAAATATGCTCCAAAAACATTAGCCTGGTCATTCCTTTGCTGAAATTGCAGCATCTGAAACTTTGACTGGTACAGTGAAACACACTAGAACCATCTTCCATGCATGTCTAATCAATATAGGACATAGAAGTACTTAAAAAGAAAACTGCTCCAAAAAACTTAACCTTAACCTGGGATGCACCGACTCCCCCAACTTCATTGAGGTGAGCTAAAAACCTCATCACCAGTCAGTAAACAATCTTTCTTAGAAATCTTCAACCAATAAATTATATCACAGGCAATGTGTATAAAATAAAAATGTAAAAAAAAAAGTACATTGGATTTAACAAAAAGATTCTAATGATCCTTTATTCCATGATGTAGAAGTAAAAATGCTTCCAAAGAGAAAATAAACTTATAAGTACCCATTAAATATTCATCACAATGTAAACAAATATTGTTAATAAAAATAGAGATACAAGCCAAACAAGAGGCCCAGGGGGGGGGCTTGAATTTATTCCCCCCCCCCCTCCAGGCGTTCATCATTTGAACAAACTAGAATCTACACTACCTGAGGATGATTCCATATAAATATCACTAATCATAGCTTTGAAGTACTTGAAAAGAAGATTTGGTTTCCCTATATATCCCTATGTAAAACTTGGGTCGGCCATTGTACCCTAGCCCTGGGGGTCATGATTTGAACAAATTTGAAACACTACCTGAGGATGATTCCACATGAGTTTCATCTTTCCTGGCCCAGTGGTTCTGGAGAAGGATTTTTAAAGATATTTCCCTTTATATTCCTATGTAAAACTTCAGCCATTTTGGCCCCATTGCCCTGGGGGTCATGAACAAACTTGAACTACACTACAGGATTTCCACAAGCTTTCCTGGACCAGTGGTTCTGGAGAAGATTTTTAAAGAATTTTCCTATATATAATAAAACTCTTAAAACATAAAACTACCTGAGGATGATTCCACATGATTTCATCTTTCCTGGCCTAGTGGTTCTTGAGAAAAGATTTTTATATATTTTCATATATTTATGTAAAACTTGGGTCGGCCATTTTGGCCCCATTGCCCCGCAAAGACAAATTTGCAGTCATTTTGAAATGGTTTGCTTTCCTGGACCAGTGGTTCTGGTGAAAAAGATTTTTAAAGATTTTTCTATATACAATTACATGTAAAACTGCAATTCTCTTGCCCCGGGGGTCATCATTTGACCTCACAAGAGTTTCATTTTTCCTGGCCATGTGGTTCTGGAGTAGAAGATTTTTAAAGATTTTTCCTATATATATATAAAACTGCATTGTCCCCGCCCTTGCCCCGGGGGTCATGATTTTCTTAAATCTAATCTACACTACCTAGGATGATTCCAAAAATTTATTTTTATGGTTCTGGAGAAAATATTTTTAAAGATTTTTCAATATATTCCTATGTAAAACTGATAGATCCCCACCCTTGCCCCGGGGTCATGATTTCAAGCTTGAAGCACTGAAATACATGTTTCATCTTTCCTGGATATGGTTCAGAAGAAGATTTTTAAAGATTTTTTATATTCCTATGTAAAACTTGGCAAAATTGGCCCCACTGCAACAAATTTTTACACTTTGCTTTCACATGAGTTTCACAACCTGGCCCATTCTGGAGAAGAAGATTTTTTAAAAATGCCATTAATTTTTAACAAATTCATGATTATCTCCCCTTGGAAAAGGGCATGGCCCTTCATTTGAACAAACTTGAATCCCCTTCACCCAAGGATACTTTGTACCAAGTTTGGTTGAAATTGGCCCAGTGGTTCTTGAGAAGAAGATGAAAATGTGAAAAGTTTACGACGACAACAACGACAACGACAACAACGACAACGACAACAGTTAGACAAGACAGATTTTGATAACATTTAAAAATTTATTTGAAATTCCCTATTAAATACATGTACAATGCCATGTAAGTGATATGAATCTGCATATCTTAAAATAAATCAATGCACTTTGGGCTAATACTACAAGAACTTGCTTCTTACACATGTAACATTGTAGAAAGATCCTGACAAATGTCATTTGTTAAACTAGACAAACATGTGTTCAAGAAGTTCAAAATATAATACTAATTATATAAATATAAAAATGCTGAGGGTCCCAGCAAAATTGAGAATATTTAAGTCAAGCACAAATATTGTGTTTGAAAAAGGTGTTAAATGCAACCCTTATGTAAATTAAATAATGTAATCCCATCTTCTTCAAAAAATAGCAATAAAACATGCTTTGAATCAAAATGACATTTTTTTTTTGGGGGGGGGGGGGGGGGGAATTAAGTAAAAGAAACAAAACAAGGCTTTGATTTAGACTTTGTACAGGTGTGAAGAAACTGAGTTGAAATGCAAGCTAGCATTTGATTTTCCAATTGACACATACAATTTACCAAATCCTATATAAATTGCATAAAACAAGGGTGCATATAGTCAAAATGTGCTTATATAAAACACATTTTATGTCAATATTCATGCAAGAAATATTCCAAGACAAAGCAGTCATTTTGAAAAGGTTTGCTTTGCCTGGTAATCTCAAGAAGGACTCTTCAATACAATGCAATTCTCTGAACCCAAAAGAGTGCAGGGATCTGTCAATATATGCAAATTGCATTGTCAGTGCCTTGAATTTTCCTAAATCTTCTGACTAGTACAGTCAAAAATGTATTTTTATGAAAATATTACAATGGTAATTATGAGGATGAAAGATCTCTTTCTTGGTCTCCAGGCACTTCAATAAGTTCAATATCACAACGATGCAATTTTTTCTGAAGGCAAAATTGGACTGCAACAATTTTTTATTTTCATCTCTTTAAATTATATACATTTATATCAGCAGTAATTAGTTGTAGAAATTGCAACAAGACTTTTTTCAGGTGCTAAAAGTTTGGTAGTGGAAATCAGACATGACTCACAGTTGAAATGTATACCGGTAATGCTATCTCTCATGAGCATTAATTAAGGCAAGTTCTCGAAATTCACAAGACAATAAGTAGCATTTGATTTTCCAATTGACTAATTACCAAATCCTTTTGCAAGGGTTTAGTAGTAAGCATTTAACTTGTCGGCCACAAGCTTAACATAATACAGGTGAGAGGAGTGAAGAATAAGACTAGATGACACTTCTAACCAGGTAGCTGCCTCCACGGTCTCTCCAGCCTAGAAATTAATTAATAAAAACATTAATTACAAAGTAATTGCAGGATATCTAACACATTAGGAGTGAAACAGTTCACCGCGGTATTTTTTCTCGATTTAATACACGGTACAAAATCTGTATTTTTGGTTTGGTTCATTTTTTGGTCTGGATTGTCATTCAGACACGTTTGGCATAAGGTATAAACATGCTCCTCCGTATAATAGTTCAAAAATGTAAATATTTGTGGACTTCAAGTTTGTAAAATAATTTTTAACAGTCAAATCAATTAAATTAATTTCTTCTATCTATTTTGCACATAAACTATTTGACTAGATTACCTAAAAGGAAGCATAAAACAACAGTTGAATTTGTTTCCTTCTATCAAAATGTATTGTATTGAAAATAACCAAACTGAGACCAAATTTTACGATATATATCAAACCGTGAAGGAGGCGCATCGTTTCACCCTGTTAACCGTGCATAGACAATATACATTTTGGAGAAGAACCACCTTATACTGTGTGAAAATTCAAAATGATGAAAGGGAATCAAAAAACTTAAATTTCAAAATACATAAAATTTCATGTTGCTAAGTAAGTACAAAAAATATCCATAAAGTTTAATTTGATCAGAGAGTCTTTAAAAAAATATTTGTATGAATAGTAAAATTTCTTACTCTTAAAAGGAAAGGATGAAGAACTTTTCCTGTGTCATCATGGTAGCTAAACACAAGAGTTTCCAACCAGGCATTATCAGTGTTCCTGGGGTCATCACAAATTCCTTTGTAAATCTAGTCAAAGCAAAATTGCATAGAGCTAATTAAAAAAAAAAAAAACATAACAATTCTTTACTATGCCATCCTTTTATAACAATTAATTTTAATGCTTTTTTTCATAGGACAAAATCATTCCCTGCAGCAAGATATATTTTTAATCCATAAAAAGAAGTTGTCAGAGGTACTATGTACATCTGACAGAATTTTCTCTCAAGTTCTTGTTGTAGCTCCCTATCCTAATCCTTCCAAAGTTAAAGCAAAATGGAAATTGAATCCAACACAAGAATTTCAATAGGTGCAAATGTAATTCTGTTTAGCATAACTGCTGTGGAAAAAAGTCAATCTTAATTCCCCACTCATCAAGTTACACTATTATACCAGAAAGAAGCTCAATATTTGCAAGCATTCAGAAAAGAAGTGCACCCCCCCCCCCTCTCCTCATTTGACAAATGAGGTGGAACACCTTTAGCCCTCTCTGGTATTGGGTTTATGTAACGCGATATTAAATTTAGGTTATACTAAGTACTTTAAAATCACAATAACCCAAGAAATCTTGCTTTTTACAACAAAGTATCAATAATTTAGTTACCTCTTCTCCATGATCCAGCATGTACTGAAGGTCTTTGTTGATTTTATCCTTCATGGTCTGGTCATTGATCAATGTCCCCAGCGCTTCCTCTGTAAACTCGGCCTTCAGGCACTGGGACACCTTCTGTCCAGGTTCACACATACCCTGTAACAAACCATTGATACATGTGTGATACCTTACTTTAAAAACGATATTGTAAAAATGACCATGTGGAATATGTAGCTTATATTTTTTGGTCATTTCCACCATTTTTTCATGCCTTTTGATGCCAAAATTATAGCTTAATTGTTTTAACTGTAAGTAAACAGCTTTTTCAAAAGTATGTATCAACATTTTCAACATTTTCGACTTAATTTGGTATAAGAAATTCAGATTTACGCAATGGAAACCAGTTATTATTTGCAGTAAGCTTTGTGTCTATAACACATTTCCACAGTAAAATGCAATTTGTTTTTGTATAAACCTACCCCAGGAATAGACCATAGGTCATTGTCTTTTCTGAATATTGCTACAAATTCCAGAACTTTTTTCCCTTCCTTCATCACAACTTCCCCTTTATCATTTCTCTTCCATCTGTTGACAGAAGAAAAGAATGAAATTTTAATAATCTAAAACTGTATGCAAGCATTGTTGAGGCCAAAGCTGAAGGATGTTATCAGATGAAAAGTCTACAGACAGACAGACACCAGCCTTAATCTGACCAAAAAAGCTCACTTGAGCTCTCTGCTAGGGCAATTTTACTAAAATATATAAATATTCTACAACGCTAAAAATTCACAAATAGAAATTCATTTTGTACACAGAAATCAATCAGACAGTTGAGGAGAATTTTACCTGGTTACTATGGGATCTCCACAATGGTTAGGGCCGTATCGTCCAAGAAGTCCTCGTCCTATAATACCTGTCCGACCCGCAGGATTCAGCGGGAGACCATCACGTACTTCATACGTGCCCCAGTAACTCTTTCTGTCACATAGGTTCTTCTTGTCATATTCATTAAAATTGATCTTTCCAATTCTGTCAGCGGGTTTCCTATCAGAATGTAAAAATGAAAAGTTGTTAATCAATCGATTATGATTATAATCAATCTACTAGACATGATAATTTCTGTCTTAGCTATCTACATTAAGGGTCTCATATTAAAAGTGCAATAGTACTGTTAGGGTTGTCCCAAAGAATTGAAATAGCAGGGGGTATTAAAGAAAGAGTAGTATTTCTTTGGTTCCTCCCCTAACTGGGGGTTGAGGGTGAATAGTAGAATACATGTATATAACCAGCGGATTAAGTCATTATAAGCAGGGGAAATTCCCCAGTTCCCAAAGGGAAAACCCTGACTCATGTCAACCATCTCTACATTTTCAAATTAAAATAACTTAACATTATTCAACACTGGCTTGATTATTTTTTTAAATTACATGGTTAAGATCTTTTTAAAACAGACTACACAATAATGCAATGTCAGGTAATGGTAAACACCATTTTTCTTCAAACTTTTACTACAAATAATAACTTAAGTAACCTTAATTCCAATAGATGAAACTGCTTTAGAGAACATAATTACAATGCAACTGAGATCCTCAATGATAGAGCAATACATGTCTCAGATAGTTGAGTCTTTTAATAGACAGCCGATAGCAAAAACAAGCTGTTATAATTGTATGTAAATTTGATTGCTCAGACATCTTGAAATAAGACGAGAAAGACAAAGAATGAACAAGACAAAAACGAAAATTGTCAAATATATGTTAAAAAGATAAAATGACAGAATATACAAGTAAAAGTTTAGCTGGTTTGAAATTCAATGTGCCCTTGTTTGAACTAACCCCTGCCGCCTCAGCCTCTCCCACAAAGTGATAAATAGCAGAATCATTATTATAGGTCCATTCTGAAAAACTGATGAATAGTTGTTCATCACTTCGGTTCTTTATTTAAACACTTGCAAACAGCCCACAGCTGGGAAATGAAACACTGACTTCTATTTCCTCTCAAATATTAAATTTGAAAACAAATTCCTGCGTTTTCATGAATTGATTGGCTCAATACTATTGTTTACCATGTTTACAAATTGACAGTGTTTAAATTTACATTATGTTTGGTTTTTCACCCGATCACTTCAAGGTCATTACTCAGCAGCCGTGGTAAAACATGTGTATACATATGGACAGTTATGCTTTATTTCAGCATATGGCTTTACAATGCTTTGAAAACAATAGCTGGTACCAAATACAAGAAAAACTGATTGGGAAAATTTACGTCATATAATCAAGATAACAATTACAACATTCATTCCATTTTACCAAAAATTCACTTTTCCCTAAATGTGTTAAATCTATCAGAGTTACTATGAAAGATTTCAAGAGCCACACGTTTTTATTAGTCAATTCCCCATTCCTTTGGGGGATGTCCAGAACTTACATGTATATGAGGTCTATAGTGTCAGCCCAGTAAGGATGACTCTTGACTTCAGGTGCTTCATACACCACTGGGTCATATTCCGGAAATGAAATCTGATAAAAGTATAAATAGAATAATTTATGTATTTATGAGTTAAAACATTAAATTTTATGCTTAGCATGAAAACTTTGGGTAGAGAGAGAGAGGTGGGGGAATTTTCTTTTAAAAATATAGCCCCCCCCCCCCCCCCCCAAATTGTTATTTTGAAGTAACAATTAAAAAGATTTGATTCTATGATAAGCAGGGTTTCCTCAAAAAGGATTCTTTTACTATGTTCTTAAGAAATATTCATAATTGTATGTGTCAAATTTTGTACTATAACTCTTAAATACTCACCTCCCAGGCGACCTTGTCATCTGGGACAGGGAACCTGTTCACCATACTCTGGGGGTACCTAGGTATCCTCGATTTGTAGTTCAGACGTTTCCGTTCTTCCACTGTTGATTTCACCAACGCTTTGTCCTTCTCTTTCTTCTGCTTTGCTGTAACACACAAAGGACACAAACATACAGTAAAACATGCTTCTAACTAAGTTTAAGGGATGGCTGTTTATAATTGCTACGTTATAAGGGTATTTTGTTATATCTGTAAACTTTACAATAAACTCATGGAGAACAATTAAGAAGCACTTTACTGTGTCAAATCATTATTAGCACGTTCACAATAAGTGTGTTTTACTGTAATGTGATATAGCTCATTTTTTTGTGGGGATTATATTCTCATTGTTTTTATTGTGTATATTGGTAGGACCTCCAAACTGATGCTAAAATTTTACATAATTTACAGTATAATGTCTGATCTACAAAATTATGACCCTCAATCTCAAAGAGAAGAGATTTTACAATATAGCACTTTGAAATGAATGAATACTGAATAAAAAATACACACTCTACTTTCATAAAATGATGAAAATTTGAATATTTAATTTTATTATGTATTTAACACTGGTCTATAATCACAAAAAATCTACGAATTCTAGGACACAAAACAGAATTTTTCTGTTAAATAATTGCCCCAATACCTTTAGTTTAAAAACAATAAACAAAACAAAAAAAAGCAAAGTTAAGTTTTATACAGTGCACAAAATTTAATAAGTATAATGCAAGTAAATACTTTAAAAATCCTCAGATAAATTACAGCAGAGTTTTTTTAGTAGTCCAATTTAAGTCATGTAAAATAGCACTTCACTCCATTTTATAAAAACTCTTTGACATTTAAATATCATTTTAATGATATATGTTGTACATGGAACATTTCTGTGACAGTAAAGTAAAACTCGGATATAGCGAAGTCACTGGGACCTATAAAATTACTTCGCTATATCCATAATTCGTTATATCCTTATAAGGAATTTATTAAATTCACATAGCTGGGGATCCAAGATAACTTCGCTATATCCGTGTTCGTACTAAACAAGTTTTACTGTATTTATTTAATGCTAATTCAACAAATGCTGAACTGGCTTTTTTTTTTTTTTTTTTTTTTTAAATGTTCACTTATGTTTGCTAAACTATACTTATTCCATATCAATTTTAGATATGAGAATTTTTCTAAGGCGCAGATCCAGAAATTTTTTCCAGGGGGGGTCCACCCCAGTCAAAAAAAAAAAAATCCAATCCCAGAAATTTCTTGAAAAGCAAAAAAACAAAAAACAAAAAACAAAACAAAAAAACAAAAAAAAAAAAACCAAAAAACCCCATTTTTTTTTTAGTATATACATTTTTTAGCCTGGTAAATTCCAGGGGGGGGGGGGGTCCTGACCCCCCTGAACCCCCCTCTAGATCCGCGCATGTGATGATAAATGTAATATGGAAGTATAAATTGAGACTATAAACAAAATATATAAACATTGATTATTTGAGCAATTGAATTTCATATACTTTGAGTTTTTCATTACTACTATGCATTTTTTTTTAGGTATACATGTCAATGTATATAATTTTTCACGTAATATAAACAATAAATTATTATATATTTACCTGTATCTGAGCAAAATTATCCAATTGAAAGCCAAAGACCCATGGACCACAACTCATATATTAGGGCTGGGCAATAATATCAATATTTCAATATATTGCAATACAATGACAATATCGCAATAGGATTTTGTAATATCGATATATTGATAATATTTTTAGATTAAGGAATTTTGTCATTAAATATTAAAATGGACTTATGAAAGTTTGTTACTAAGCCAAACAGTAAGTCAGAAGTTGTTTTGTGGGAACATTTCAGAGCATAACTTAAATGAAATCAACAAGTTTTTTTTTCGTGTTGGTTACTTATCATAGTTATTATGCACATTCAGCATGTAAATTAAAGTAAATATAGTAAGAAAATGCCATTTTTATTATATTGAAAATATTGCAATACATTCATTAAATCTGGAATTTTTCATGAATCCGAAGGACTGGAAATGAGGGGATTGATGGATACAGATGATTCAGCTGGTTGTCAAGGGGGTGTGTCCCCAATATCGCAATACAGCTAAAAATATCGCAATATATCGCAATACGAAATCTCGGGCCAATACCCAGCTCTATCATATATGCATAGGTCTTGCTGTTCTTCATCAGCAGATTTATTTTGTCCCTCTCTATCTATCCTAAAGGATCATGATTTGAGGAAACTTGCACCTATACTACAGAGCTTAGTAACCTTGCATCCAGGTACTGAAAAAGGGCCTTGTCCTATTTGAAAATGACTCTTTTTTCTCAACATGTTGGTAAAAATTACCAAGCTTTATAAGCAGAATGAATTTTTCAATTTATACTTAAAAAAAAAAAAATATTGAGAAAATTGAGATTTAAACATGATGCAGATCCTAAAATAGATAGATGACTTACATGTATCCGTTTAAAAAAAAGAAGAAGCTTTTTTGATCAATGAAAAGAATTTTTTTATTTAAAATCCTATGTCAATAAATCTTTGATTGCTGATTTTGGCCCCTGCCTACCCTTGACTGTCATTACTTGATCTTCAGTCAATCTACTTTTTGTATAAAGATCTCACTACTAAATAATTTATTTTTTATGTCCCAATGGCTCTTGAGAGGATTCTAAATTTTCATCACTTCTTCACTAACTTCCATTGAAAGGGGACCTTGCCCTTTATGTGAATCAACTTGAACCCTTTTGACACCAGAATACTATATGTTCCAAGTTGGGTTGAAATTGGTCTTATAAAGAAGATGAAAATATGAAAAGTTTACACGGACAACAACAACAGTTACATAAAATAAATGGGTAACAAAAATTTACTCAAGCCTACGGCTCATGTGAGCTAAAAGGTATGACTGACTTTGGGGTTGCTCATTTTAACTAGTTAGGCATTTCTTGGCAATGCTGAATTGCTACTTGTTTTCTGAATTGCTACTTGATTTCTAACTCATGCAGGCTGTTGTCTATGCTAGTAATATTAATGCTGTTGTAACAGAAATGATGCCTTGTTGAGAACAATGCCTGCATTATATACTGATGCATACTTCATATAAATATGAAAGACATTTTGCAATTTAGTTATAATGATAAATTAACATTTTAGGAGGTATCCATCATAAATTATGAAAGTAGCCTCAGAAAAAGCACTTTTTTCACAATCGTTCATATTGAAGTTAATGTATGATGATATTGCTTGAAAGGCAGAAGTAGGATTACATACTAAAAAGCATACTATTAAATTATTCCTCAAAAAGTCTGATTATTTGCTTATTGAACATCATGCAAATATAACATTTCCAAAACTTACAATGCTTGCCATGGCGACCTTAAAATTTATAATAGATGAAAAAGAGATTGTATTTGCATGCAAAAAACATTTCCTTCCATAAAGAAAAATAAGGAATGTACATATAGTTAAGCATGCCAAGTGAAAGTAAAATATATAAAATCACAAACAAACAAAAAACATTATTTATTTTACATTTTTTTCAATTTTTTTTTAGAAAAGTTATTAAAGTACTTGTAGGAAGTCCCCATGCATGAAGAGAATTAACTAAAACATAATAATATTATGCACTACATGAAAAATGCAAATAAAATTTTACATCCACACTTTGTATGAATTAGAATTCAATATTATAGTGTGAGCTTTAAATTTTGTTCTAAAAAGAATTTTTGTTTTTAATTTTGCATTATAGTACCATTTGACCTACCATTTTCTTTTTTATCCTCCATCAATGGTGGGACCTTTGCACTGCTCTTCTGTTGTTCTTGTAAGTTTCTCATGATCCAGTTGAGTGCAACAGTACTTTGTTGCATCTGAAATTTACAGGAAAAAAATTACAAACTGCAATTACATGCAGGGAGGATTCATAGCTCATTAAAATATTTAAATTTTACTTGTATGCGAGGTCATTTTATTCACAAATATTCATATTATTGACAAAGGCATCCCATAGCAGCCCAAAATATACTTTATTGATATCCAAAGATGTTGGATTCTTCCAACCCAAATTGACTTACAATGTATCCATGGCAATCAAAATATCTATGTTCAACTATGAATGATCAAAGAACCAACACAATTCTTTCAAGTCAATAAGTCAGATACATTTCAATAATTGAGTACTGTAGATTCCTTAATTTTTGCGAGAACTTATTATTGCGAAATCAATGTAATCTTCAATGTCAAATCGCAAGAATAATAATTCGCAAATGGATGGTTGGTCAAGAGATTTTAAATAGATTTCAGCACCATAAAAATAAAGCCAAGTAATTTTATTTGGCACGTGGTGCTTCTCGAGAAATTACGTGATAATTAATTCCACGTGTATATTTAGGAATCTACAGTAAAATGCTTGTCTACCTGGTCCTCCAGGGCAAGTAGTCTCTTGTCCATCTGTGGGGGCATCCTGACCACAGGGTTAATCGGGGCCTTGATGATGGGGGGTGCTCCGGGGGCCCCAGATGTAGTCTGGATATCCTGTAACTCATCCAGCTTAAAGAACAGCTCATGTATCCTGTCAAAGTGTAACTGCATGGTTTAGAAGCTAAGAATATTTTAAAGTAATAACTTAAGAATTTAGTACGAAAATCTCAATGAATAAACAGTATCATGCATGTTCTATGCCAGATATTACATGTCTTTGTCATACATAATTGCAATTTTTATACATCAGAGAAAGATAGAATCTTGTTCTAGACTGAAAATCCATCCTAAAAATGCATCCAAGTTACAATATGTCATGATTTTTATACATGTATTTCAGAAACCAGGGTTCAAGTTTTACACAAGAACAAAACCAAAATCTTGATCTTTTCATAATTAATTTTTTATTGTGGGATTTCTATCTGAACAAGAATTTGGCTATATAATCATAAGAACAGTGTACTTTTGCTAACTGGCCGAGACCCAAATGATTTATGCTGTCTAATCTAGTACTTACGATTCTTGAGTATTTATAATTCTGTTCTGAATGTTTTTCTTCTCTTCATGTTCTAAGCGATTCATGTAAGCATCTGCTATCATATTTTCCCACTGGACAAGCTCCCTTGCCTTGTCTGCAGGAAACCGAGTTACTGAAGAGACAAAGAATAGGAATCATTTTTTATGGACCATATGGGGTTAATGCATCAATTATTTTGAATGTACAGATGATCTGCTATTAAATAAAATTTTCCAAAGTAACTGTGAATGCTTCATATTAATTTTCTTTTTTTTTTTTTTTTTTTTTTTATAATTTTGTTTATTAAAATTTTTCAAAAGATCGAAGGATGAACAAAATGTGATAATCATGCAGTCTATGACTTGTGCAACTCATACTAAATACAGGAAAATCAGTGAAATGAAGCTTAAGCACTAACTGCATATTAAGTACGTGTTTAAAACTGCAATCAAAAATAATCAGATATTAACTTAAGCTTTGCATGCTGCCTTTTATGGACAAAAATAAACTCAGAACATATACATCACATAACCAGTAGCTAGCTTATTCATGCAAAAAATAAAGAAAGAACAAGAGAACACACTGATTAACACCAGGTATCCATGATTATCACACCTAGCTGTTATGTTTTCTTTGATTAGAAATCTGAGGATTCAAAACATTGACGGTAAAATAATATCTTATGATTTAATATATTGACGGTGTTAATAAACAAAAATAATATATAGTTCGGACTTTCAAATCACTTCAACATATTCATGGTATGCAAGAACTTAGTGTTCATACCGTTCAGGATACAGAAGTTTAACTGTATATGACATATTAGAAAACATAAAATGGGTTGACCTTGAGACATGTTCAGTACACTACATAATTATGCTCACAGAGGAAAGGTAAAAGAAAACATTTTTTTTTTGATTTTCTTATGAATTTTATTGTTTATGCACCTATTATGCAAATTAAGAGATAAACAAATGGCAGGGCCTTAAACTAATCACTAAAAATTGTTTATATATTTTTGAGGGCATGATACTTATCATAATCTTGGACTGGCAAAAATGAAGGTTTCTATGTGACCTTGAAATATCATATTTAAATATGATTGCATTGGTCAGGAAATGGTGTGAATGATTGTTATATATAGGCAAAGTTTAAAGTAAACTTTAATAATCTTTTTGGACTAGATGTTCCTTGAGGACAATGTTAAATACATCAGGGTCACAAAGGTTAGTACAAGTGCACAGTGGTTGCCAAAATAAAATTATGTACAGTATATATATCAACAATGGTATGGTTATACATGGCTTTTGGTGGCTATTGCAAGGCAATGTGATTTAGACTTACTCAAATCACTGGGCTGACTGGTTAAACACAGTGAACATTTTCCGAAAATCCAGAATGAACCTGGCTGAATATAAACAAATGACCTTGAAATATCAAAGAGAAGAAATGGCCTTTTAAAGCTGTTATAAGCAAAAATTAATCTGCAACAATGGATTTGATGAACATGTTAAAAATATCCATTATACTGCATTGGTGAATGTTGGTAGCATGCAAATGAATTTTTATGATCATGCAGTAAATAACACAAGATGAAATGCTCCCATTGTTATATATAGGCAAAGTTTAAAGTAAGCAGCTATAAGCCACCAGTAAGCTTCCATTAAGTAACCATTAAGCCACCATTAAGCCAAATTTCTAACTTAATGGAACATAGAAACTTTTAATTTTTAAGGTAGAAAGGTGCTTAATGTCCACTCCATTAAGCACCATTAAGCTACCATTAAGCAACCATTAAAATTAATTCACATTACACCGTTAATATTGTTTATATGGGTGTAAAATTATTTTTGGAGTGATTTGTTATCAATATTATAAATGATTAGTTCAGATATCTTGATTTGGTAAAAATATTGTTCAAATTTCAAAGGTTGGGGCGCGAGACCTACTGTTCTCAAGGCGAACGCCTTATCCAGGCTATCGGTTTGTAGAATGCCAATATTTAACTTTATTTTTTTCAAAATTTATGTGGACTTGGAAAAGTATATATATTTCCAAAAGTCTTGAATTAATTTATTAATGAATATAAAAACAATATTATTTGTGTTTTTTGAAAGGCTTATATCACATTAAAATATCTTCATTGGCTTTTGGATGTGATGTGATGGAGTTCTTCGCATTCGAAAAATTTATACATGTAAGCATTAAATCATGATTGAAAATAAATTAATTATAGATAAAACGCAAAAATCTATTCAAATCATGTACTGCGGTTATAAACGGTTTCTGTGTCAACAATTTAGTGTCAAACACAGTGAGTTACCTGGTTAATTACGTTTACAAAAACTTTTTTTAGAATATCATATTCAGTTTCAATTCTTTCTGTATCATAATGGGTATCAAAATAATTGACATTTTACGATGAATCATAATTTTTAATTTGTTAATTGCTTGCGTTAAATTTAAATTTTGTAAAAATAATTGATCATCAAAATCTAGTTCTAAGTGTACGTTGTGTGTGTATAGTTCCCTGTTAGTTAACCGGGCGGGGGACACCTAATTAAGGTAGGGACCAGTCGGTATACTGTACACTGATAATCTGTTAATCTTACCCCGTTTCTCAATGTGTATAAATCTGGTCGGATGTCATGTTTAGTCTGATCGGCTGTTCTTCTGAAAATCGACTTTGAAGTAACAATCATCGAAGACCGACTTGATTTTGACAGATACAATGTACTTATAATTACCGCTGCATTAAAAAAAAAGAAATAAAAGACCAACTAGATTTTGACAGATACTTAGCATGCTTACCGCTGTATCTAAAAAAAAAATAAAAAAAAAAATAACGAAGTAATAAAATTTATTCATGATGTAATGCAGGGACCATATAGGTACAACATTTAAAACTAAACATTTGTATACCAGTACACCCCCCTCCCCCCAAAAAAACCCAGCGAGATTATCTGACTTAAAGTTATAATCCCGTAACACATTTAACACATGAAATATATACACCATTTTTACAAAAAATAATGTATTTTGTGTTCATGTATAAAGATAATTTAAGAACAAATTGATTTTGGGTATTGAAAATTTTAGATATTGCACAAGGACTTGCTCCCGGTGTGTAATAATTATTTATTTTTAAAAATCATATATACACTAAAAATAAAAACACCACATGTAATAATGATTTATTATTTTTGTTTTAAATAATATATGGCACTGATAAAGGATATGTTTTATTTTATTATCACTGTAGATGATTTAAAAAAATAATTATTACACACTGTGTGGCTGTTAGCTAACATTGTTCTCAGTGTTTTCAAAATATGCATCAAAAAACATTTCACAGAAAAAATTATGAGTCAGAATAAATTTTGCGTAAATGATTTTAAAACAACTAAAAGTTAATTCAAAGATTCTATATAAGATGCTTAAAAGTTTAATGAGATTTGACCATTAAGTCACCATTAAGCTCAGCTTAATGGTGGCTTAATGTGAATGAAGTTTGGACATTAAGCACCTGCAAATGGTGACTTAATTTTTTATTCTTTAAGCCACCATTAAGTCACCATTAAGCTACCATTAAGCAATTGCTTAAAGGTGGTCTTTCGTCTTGTGTAAATGCATAGTGAACAGGCTTATAATGAATTGACTCTAATGTAAACTTAAAAAAAGATTTTTTTTATTCCCTTTGGAATTTAAACATATTGTGAAGCTAACGGATATAACAAGTAATGTTTATAATGAAACAAAATCGCATATCCCTGCTTTATAAGCATGTTTTACTGTATTGTGTCATGAAAATGCATCCTATTACTTATTAATATGTTTCATTATTGAATACTTCTTAAACCATATTGCGGTTTTTGATCTAGTCAAATTTCCTATTCTATTTCCTTTATCAGTGGATATTAAAGGCAAATTCATTCTCTAAGAAAAAACATCACAAACTTGCTATAGTCTCATACAAAGAAAAAAAAGCTTGAAAATAAAATAAAAATACGGAGCATGCTTGAAAAATGAATTCAACATTTCTTCACCACTTACTCATACTGTTTATTTGATTTTTCCTTCGTTTACAACATTTCCGACAAAAAAGTTGTAGCAACAAATAGATATGTGAAATGAGACAAAATGGTGCAGGCAATGGTGTGCGATCACAATATTCTCGAATTGTGTTAAACCGCATGAACTTCCAAATACTGTCAGTATCCTTTTGTGTTATCTCAAAAGTGTAACTGTAATTAGCAATTATATAAAGACATTTAGTAAAACTGAATACAAGAACAAAATGAACTTTCATTTTGTTTTTTTTAAACATTTGATCATGCAAACATATAAATTATTTTGCTTCAGTCTGAGATTGTCACAAAATGTCCTGTTTAAAATATTCTTAAAATAATTCACAGTAATTCTGTCACTTCTTGCAATTTTATCTCTGATCAGGTATATTTTTGTTTGATACTATATCTAGTCCTTGTCGCACTTGGCATACATGTTAACCTATTGTAATGAAAAATAGGGAGATTCAGACCTCAAAAGCGGTAGCATTGCGCGTGCGTTGTTTTACGCTTGGATTACCGACATATTTCATGTAATATATATACATGTATGTAGCCTTAAATCAATAAATGAAACCTACAATAATAAATCTTAAATATCAACTGCAAAGAAGAAGACAGAAACACCTTAAGTTTGACATAAATTGTACAAATTCAAATATTTTTCATGCTCATCATTTTGCTTGGATTGGCTGTTTAACTTAGCCTTTTGAAGAGTGATCTTATCCTAGAAGCAATAATTCTGAATGTTCATTCAGTTGTTAAACAAAACAAATGATGACATGGTTTAAACTATACCCAAAACAAGTTCTTATCTTTCGTTATATAAATCAGATTTCCCGCGATGATCGAAAACGAAAGTAGAGATGTGCCACATGGCTAGGTCAATCTAGTGATTTCTATTGACTTTATTGATAAAATTGTGAGCTCCTGTGCTTTTATAGACGATGCCAAACGTTTTAATCTAATTATTAAAAACTGTATCTCCTTTTTCTTGGCAGTGATGTTGACTAATTTTATCATAACTAATGTAATCACTGGTAATCTTTGTTGTTGTCATTGTCAAATTCGTGCTTGAAATCTATGTACACATCGATAAAAGAAAAAGCGTTTGTATGCTTCTGAGTCAAATCACGCGATATCTTACGAGATTTTATGAGAGTGGCTTCAAAAATGGATACCCAAGCGAACCAAAAATACGTTAGACGCAACTTTTGTAGAAAAGCGGTAGATTTCTGAATTAAATCGGTAGGCGGGAGATGGAGTGAAAAAGCGGTAAACTCCCGCCTAAATCGGTAGAGTTAACATGTATGCACTTGGAGACATATAGGACATAAATATTTGATACAAACATAGTTATCTTGCTTTTGTGGGAGTCAATTTTTTTTGGTAAGACTTAATGCCCAAATTTAATCCTTACTTAAACTGCATTGCAGAAAAAAATAAGAGATAAACCAGAAATGGTTCATTTTGCAAAAATAATGATTGATATCTTGTGTTTGCGCTAAAGGACTCAAAGTGATGTACATGTAAAAAATTTTGGAACTCAAAATATCTTTGTGGGCATTAATTAGTAACATTGGACAGTCAATGATAAAGTCATATGCAATAATTCAAGAGATTTTTAAAAAATACAGTTTATAGACATTGCAAGGTTTCTATTTGAGCATCTACAGGAATATTCTGAAATTATCTGTCAGAAGATAATTTAACAATTCCTCAATATTTCCAAAGCACCTTATGTTGGCCATTTTTTCGAAAATTTGAAGATATGGATTTTAACAAGTTGTTATATACCTTATAGGAATAAAAAATATTGAAATATTGAACTCTCTTATCAAACAATATGAAATGTTTTAAATTACTGGACTTAAAAAATCAAGGATGATGTCTTAAAAATGTTTAATCTCTAAGAACTAAGTGAATCTGGTTTACCTGAACATAGCAATCAGAAGGTTAAGGAGCAGAATGTTGCTAAACAAAACATAGAACCCCATCAGAATCGGCACTGCATAGCGACTCACAGGGGTGGGGCATCGGGGGAATGTACCATTACTGTATAAATCAGATTCAAAGGTACAGTCTGGCTCCTCCACTAAAAAAACAACATAAACTCGTCAGAATAATGATTCAAAATCATACATGTATCTGACTTTGATGAGCAGAAGTCGTTTGACATTATGAATTTTAAACAGCATGCAAATCAAGAAAATCAACAATCAAATTTAAAATAAAATAAAAGTCTGTTAATTGTGGTCCCCAATTTTGGGTTCTTATTGGTTGGAAGGAAATAAACTTCAGGTCAAAATGCATTAAACATTCAGAAAGGTCTTGTTTCAGGTGTAGATAACTCTATGAAGACCTACTTTCTATGTCCTCCAGGAAGAGCTCTCCATACAGGTTCCAGTATCCCATCCTCATGACATTGTACACCAGGACAAAACTGAGTTCCGAGTTTGGAAACATCACAGAGTGAGCTGCTATTGAATAGGAGACGACAAACACCATCAAGATGATGATAAAATACAGCAAGTCCATCAACTGTCAATAAATAACATAACAAATAAGTTAAAAAATTCAACAATCAAGTCCATCAAGTGACATCAACCTACATGTATTTTGTTAATAAAAATCTCTTTTCATCTTATGAATTGCAATTTATTAAGTTATATAATGTGCACCATTAGGGTATAGAATTATTGTTGTGTCTCTCTGCTTTATGTATAGCCATAAAGTTCACACCTAAATATAGTTTGACCCCCCCCCCACCCTTCCATGAATCGGCTTTCAAACATTAAAGTTCACACCTAAATATAGCTTGAACCCCCCCCCCCCCACCCTTCCATGAATCGGCTTTCAAAGATTGATGGTCCTAGGCCTCAAAGAGTGCACAAATGTAGGAATCAGAGAAGGTAAGACTTTGAATACTATACATTTTTCAAATGAAGCCCTTGTGATCTACTTTTGGGTCACAACATACCTTCCTTCTGAGGAGGATGAATAATAAAAAACGTTAATCATATATTCTCTCCAAAACTACTCACCATTCTGCCAATCATGACTAGTTTGGGCCCAAGCTGTTTATGAACAGAAAATATATGTAGAATCCTAAAGAAGAAGATGACCAGATTGAGAGCCATGACACAGCGGGCGGCCTCCAGAGTGGAGGAGTAGGGGAGGAAGCGCAGGATGATCCCCACAATAAACATGATAATGGTCACCACGTCCACAATGTTCCAGGGATCCGTTATGTAGCTGTGCAGCTTGGTGTTGAACGTCTTGGTTGAAGAGGACACCATCTGATGACAGAGAAGTCTGTGTTAAATTGCTTTTTACATAAATGACAGATGTGTATTTTTAGTGTGTATACATGGTAAGATAGAGTTATAGCAAATATCCAAGGTATTAACCTGGTCTATATTTAAATTTGTCATATAAATTTCAAAACTCACAAGATTTAGGTGCTGGGTGAAAAAAAATCAGCAGTAACCTTTTTTATCTCAAACATAAAGGGACTGAAAATTCTGATGTTTAAAATGTTAAACATGCATGTTGAAGTAAAAATACAGTAAGAAAATACTGCTAGGGACTTTATAATAATCAGTGTGACATACATGTTTCTATGGTATTTGAGAAATATCAATGTTTGAGATACTAAAGTTCAACCAATATATTGACTTGTATATTTGCTATATCTGCATCAATTTTGCTACATATGACTTAATTACTGAAGTAGTTAAAGTGAATACAACTATTTTGGCAATATATGAGTAAAATGTACTTCTGAATCATTAGATGAAAGAAAACTAAAAGATTCTCTCAATAGATTATGAAAAATTACTGAAAGTAATACCGACCAAAACAAAATACATGTATATAAATCCATTTCAGCTGGTTTGTGGTCAATGCATAAAAAAATCCATTCATCTGTTTATCTTGACATTGTCAAGAGGAAAACCCATCTTTGTGCATGCATGGCTCTGAGAATATTTTTGGTGTGAAATGATATTATTTGCAAATTTCACTTTAATTCACTTTTTTTTGAAAACGTGAATTAAATTCACAGATGAATTGTCTTTATTGATCACACACTAGCTTTATAAACAAATTCATAATAGTAATGATCAAGAAATTTTTTTTCAATTTTAGTAATAAATGTGCTATCTACACACGTGTACTCAAGCAACGAAGGGATCACACAAAACAGATACAACTTAAAATACAACATTCCATGCATAAAACAGAGGTGAATCACAGCTCTTCATTAATGTGAAAACAATTGAAAAATTTCCTTATTGTTCTGCTACTTCTTTAAATTTTAAAGGAGAGATTTTAAAGTTCATTACATAGATGTATTGAAAATGTTTTAGTTATTACTGCATGATGATAAAATCTGAGATGAAAAATGGTATCAGTAGGTGTATTATAGCTAAATTCTGAAAATTTTATAGGGAGTATTTTGCCTAGTAAAAGCTGATGTTAAATGTTAATTGGATTTTATACAAAAGAAAGATCTAGTATGATGCGTTATTAATTAAAACCCAGTGTTAATTTGCAAGTGATATTCTTTCAATAAAGCTAATGACACTTGTTTCATCTACTGCATATATCCCAAAAAAAGTGCTGTGAAAACAAGCAAACATTGTATCACCTCTTTTATTTTTGGTAATAACAAAATAAAAAAAAAACTTTTTCATTTCAAAAATGCACTCTTTTGAAAAAAAAAGGTAAAAATAAACCAGGCAAATAAAAATAGGCAAAAAAATTAATACGCTTCTATTGCACATATAATTGTGATACCTTTGTCGTGGGGTGAAATGAGGGATTTTTGCCTCGTAAACTTTGAGTGTGATTGGAAGCACTGGGGTTGATAACGTGGGGGGCATTTTGATTGGTGGACGTGCGGTATATAGTTATTCTCTCATAAATTGAATACTGCGACAACAACTGTTCAAATCAAAATAAACCAATTAGTGCAATCATGTCTAAATTTGTTATAATTTAGTACTTATATCACAAAAGTCAAATAAGTGGCAGTTCAGTAGTGAAGTAATACAGATATGTACATTAGATATGTCTTGGCATATCCATCTAAAAGAAATGTACTGTGGGTTATAATTAAAAATAATTTATGATGACGAGAAAGGTTAAGTAGAAACATAGAATGCCTCTATGTGGCAATGGTACTTTTGAAAGCAGGTAAACTTTTTTCACCATAGTCTGAGTGGACATGCAAATTCTTTTATGTATTATTATGCCCATTGTAGTTTCACCCTTTACCCTATGATTTCCAAATCAATAGGGGGTCATTTACACCTTAATCAAGTGTACAAAAACGATGTCTGCTGTCTGTCAAGCAAAGTGCTCTAGCTTCAAAGATCAAGTACACAATATCTCTCAATGCTTAAGAGCATGTTTACCCATGACATTTGACCTAGCATTTCAAAATCATTTGGGGTCTTCTTCTTTATAAGGGGTAGCTGTGTTCCAAGTTTGATGATAGTCAAGCGAAAGGGTACCAATTTATTGAATGGTCAATATTTTCCCCAAGTCATCAGTATCTTGACAAGTATTGACCCTTGGTCTCATGACCTGAAAATCAATAAGGTCATCTCCTCTTCAGTAGATACATGTACCAGCTTGTGTTCCAAGACTATAAGTTTGACCTTTCACCTTGTGATCTTAGAATCAAAAGATAAGTCCTAGAGACACAACTAAATTTGAAATTTTTGGAACTGACAGAAAACCAACAAACCAACATACTGGGAAACAACATGTCTGAAACCTTTAAACTCGTGGAGTTAATGATGTCTAGTTATGGTAAAAAATTTATAAGATGTCAGTATAAGAGGTAGCAATTCAAAGCATTATACTAATTTAAAAATAATATTGATTATTTTACTGTTTCATAAATTTGTACAACAAATTGCATCATGTGAACATTTATTTACCACTTCTCACTTTTACCTTTTTCATTTGTACTTCAACTGACACAATCTATTTTAAATGGCAGTGAAGTATTGTGAAATCATTATTTTTTTTTTCCACTTGATGTTTTTAAAGTATGCTGAGATTCATTCATATCCACCATGAAATATAAAATTCCAAATACTGTATGCAACTGCATAACCACTCAACACAAAATCAACCTTTTTTTTATCACAAATAACCAACATCTTTTTCTCAAACCATGACCCCCCCCCCTCCAAATGTGTGAATTTAAAGTAATTTACAATATATTGTTTACCATTGCAAAGAGACTAGAATATTTAGTTTTATTTCAGACTGGGCTGTACTTTCTTAACAAGTACATGTGTATATACCTGAAACAGTGCAACACACTTGCATAGTTTAATACGAAGAATTAAGTCTATATCAGTACTTTAGTCTTATAAAAAAGTAAATTACTGTTAAGAAATTTTAGAGGGATTGATAAAGGTTGACAGGCACACAATAACACACCAGTATCTCTTTTTGGAGCTAGTCATACAAATAACTTTTGATATTAATGTTGGAGAACCAAGTCCTGTAAAATGAAGGAATAAACTGGGTGGCATTCTTATACACATGTACATGTACCCTGCACACATGTACACTTATCCAGCTTTCAATTCTGCACTGTTAATGTAATTAATTTCCATTTACAAGAAATACACATATTCCATTCTTGCCGGTGCCAATTCAAGTCACAGGAAACAGAATACAAATCAAACTTACATAAAATCTATAGTAAGTTTACATGGGACAACCATTTTTTACCTTCAAGAATCCAAAAATGGCCTTTCTCCCGTCTTTAGCATAAAATTTTGTCTTGTCATCAATCATTAATATAATCAATGAAATATTCACAAAATTATATGTGTGAATGCTATGTGGCTATTTATTCCAAACTGTACATATTTTAAAATGATATTTTTTCCAAACTGAATTCAGTGTACATGTGGACATACAAGGTAACATACATAGGGAGGTGCAAATAGTTGTTAATTGTCAAGTTTTTAAGGGAATATCTTTTTCACAAAACTTACATGACAAGATATCCAATTTTGAAGGCCTTGTCCTGAAACCTATAGTGGAACAACAATGGACTTCCTATCTTATTCATTAAGTATATCAATTTTTTTATCAATTAAGAACCTTTGCAATCAACACATTTTCATTCCATAAACTAGTGCCTTTCTCATTTTTTTCTGTGCAAACTTGTTTTAATCTATTGAAATTTTAAATGTATGGATTCATGCTCTCAGACAACTGTAAGTTATCTGACCTGGTCACCTAAACACTGGTGGCATGTATTTGCAGGATTCAAGGGACCCCACAATAGACATTTATTATGCATTATTACCTGATACTCATTAAAGATATATTAAACTTTTGGTCTTAATTGAAAAAAGATAAGAGAAAAAAAGTGAATAAATTACTGTCTATTTTTAAGAACAAGAGTTATAAGTAGGATTGATTTAAATTTTTACATATTGTATGTATTGAAGCATATATATACCGGTAGTAAGCATAACCTGACATATGGTACAGCTCAAATAAATTTGTCCTCCCATCCCCACACTGGGCTACACAATGCAGATGATGATCTGATATGCTATATTGTTTGGGTGTGTGGCTGCATGTCCAAGACAAGTATGTCCAAGACATGTAACAGCTAGTGTCCACAAACCTCCTCACAAGAGCCTCCTCTTGTTACATAATATACAGAATATGTACAGAATTACCTACATACATTCTGAAATTAAATGGAATATATTATTAGGTTTCAGTCTGGTGGATTTCTATTTTACCTGTCTAACTTCCTCAGCAAATATACTGAACACCCAGATAATGAGGATAATCTCTTCTACGCTGACTTCTGATGAAAACTTCACCAAGAGAATGTAGCTGTACAACCCCAGGAAAATCACATAGGACAGCTGAAACAGAATGAAACCATAGCGATTACATTAAAGGTTTTTCTTTACAAATTTTAATGTGACCTTTCATAAATACAATGTATTTGAAAGTTCATAAATATCACAATATCATCAATCAAAGATGTACATGCACACCCATGTGATACAAAAATTGTTTTCGAGAAAATCTGATCATTGTTGTTAAAATAAAACCAGAAGTCTCTGTCGAGACTGTAGCTCTACTGGTTTTTACTGATCAAAAACCGATGCACAGAATTATGTATCTTAGTGTAGTCTACTTGTGTGATAAGTTATATTGAAATCAGACCAAAACTGTAGAAGGAGTAGCATTTTAAAGGAATTCCACAGAAAATTCTACTTTTAGTAACCATGGCAACACCATTCAATGAAATCAAAAACTGATGCACTATTATATGTAAATTAGTGTAGTTTACTTGTGTGTCAAGTGATAATGAAATCAGACCAAAACTGTAGAAGGAGTAGCGTTTTACAGGAATTTCTCAGAAAATTCTATTTTTAGTAACCATTGCAACACCGCTCATCGAAATCAAAAACCAATGCACTATTTTATGTATCTTAGTGTAGTCTACTTGTGTGCCAAGTGATATTGAAATGAGAACTAAAACTGTAGAAGGAGTAGCGTTTTAAAGGAATTTCACAGAAAATTCTATTTTTAGTAACCATGGCAACATCGTACACCGAAATCAAAAACCGATGCACTTTTTTATGTATCTTAGTGTAGTCTACTTGTGTGCCAAGTGATACTGAAATGAGACTAAAACTGTAGGAGGAGTAGCGTTTTAAAGGAATTTCTCAGAAAATTCTATTTTTAGTAACCATGGCAACATCGTTCACCGAAATCAAAAACCGATGCACTATTTTGTGTACCTTAGTGTAGTCTACTTGTGTGCCAAGTAATATTGAAATCAGTCCAAAACTTTAGAAGGAGTAGCGTTTTAAAGGAATTTCTCAGAAAATTCTATTTTTAGTAACCACTGCAACACCGCTCATCGAAATCAAAAACCGATGCACTATTTTATGCATCTTAGTGTAGTCTACTTGTGTGCCAAGTGATATTAAAATGAGACTAAAACTGTAGAAGGAGTAGCGTTTTAAAGGAATTTCACAGAAAATTCTATTTTTAGTAACCATGGCAACATCGTTCATCGAAATCAAAAAACGATGTACTACTTTATGTATCTTAGTGTAGTCTACTTGTGTGCCATGTGATATTGAAATGAGACTAAAACTGTAGAAGGAGTAGCGTTTTAAAGGAATTTCACAGAAAATTCTATTTTTAGTAACCATGGCAACATCGTTCATCGAAATCAAAAACCAATGCACTATTTTATGTATCTTAGTGTAGTCTACTTGTGTGCCATGTGATATTGAAATGAGACTAAAACTGTAGAGGAGTAGCAATTTAAAGGAATTTCACAGAAAATTCTATTTTTAGTAACCATGGCAACATCGTTCATCGAAATCAAAAACCGATGCACTATTCTATGTATCTTAGTGTAGTCTACTTGTGTGCCAAGTAATATTGAAATCAGACCAAAACTGTAGAAGGAGTAGCGTTTTAAAGGAATTTCACAGAAAATTCTATTTTTAGTAACCATGGCAACATCGTTTACCAAAATCAAAAACCGATGCACTATTTTATCTATCTTAGTGTAGTCTACTTGTGTGCCAAGTAATACTGAAATCAGACCAAAACTGTAGAAGGAGTAGTGTTTTAAAGGAATTTCTCAGAAAATTCTATTTTTAGTAACCATGGCAACACCGTTTATCGAAATCAAAAACCGGTGCACTATTTTATGTATCTTAGTGTAGTCTACTTGTGTGCCAAGTTATATTGAAATCAGACTAAAATTGTAGGAGGAGTAGCGTTTTGAAAAATTGTTTACAGACAGACGGACAGACAGCTAGACGGACGGACGGACGGACGCCGGACGCATTACTATCGCATAAGCTCTTCTGGTCTCTGACCAGTAGAGCTAAAAATTCTGTGGACAATAAAAGGAGAAAATGAAAAAGAGGCTTAAGACATAAGATGCTTATTTTAGTGGAACACCTTACCACATTGTGTGCAAAGATAACTACAGGTGCTGTGTAGAAATAGTATAGCTTCTTCCAAAAGCTGAGAGCAAACGGTTTCGATTCAAATTCCACTTGACTTTCTCTGCAAAGACAATATTGATCTTAGTTAAGCTTTCCTGGCTTTTTTAATATACATGTAAAGAATACAAGATATAACATGATAACCTGGTACATGTATCAGATATTTCAACTGAAATTTGACAGTAAAATCACAGGTATTACTCAACTACATATTGGGTAAAGAATTGCAGCAAATCTCCTCATTTGTGATTTCAAAGATTTTGGTAAGAAACTTTTTAAATGAACAGTAACTAGGTAATACAGCTTTGATATAAATTTCAAGTTTTCAAATTGAATCAATTTGACCAAGGGCCTCATTTTATTTAATACAGACATGGACATATTTTGCTTGACCTTTTCAATATCAGAACACATTTTTTGAAAATAACAATTAAGATGGGTAAGAAGATTTAGGTTAAAAAGGAAACAGACTTGCAAAATGCAAAGGGAATCCTGTGCACCCATAATTTACTCTAAGATGGGTATATATGAATGAATATGATTTAAAAAATCTTTTTTTAGCCCCTAAGATGGTTTTAAACAATATCTGTAATGTACATAGAGAGAACCTACTCTTTATCCTCTTTACTAACAGGAATCGAGTTCAATGTCTTCTGCTTCTCAAGTTTTCTCTTCTTTGCTTTAATTGTTGTTACCTGTCAGTGACCAAACAAAATGATTAAAATCCACCCAGACAATGGAAATTTACCTTCTGCTTGCATGCATATGCCAAGTTCATTCTGAGTTTTATGACTGAAGTGTGATTTTGATAGTAATTATGAGAGATTTGTCACAATTTTCACACTTACTCTCTGTTCGAAGTTTTTCTCTGACATTGCGTCAGTGTCTGTCTCTTCTTTGAATTTGATGACAGGAAGTATGAGTGGGGGTACAAACACACACAACAGTAGCTGAAAAATTGTCACTCCATGTGTAATTATAATAATACAGACTGACACAGCTGGTTTCCATAACTACAGCTTGTTGTTGCAAAAAAATACAAAGTTTACGTATGCTATAATTGTTGTTGCACAAAAATACAAGGTGTATGATATAACTAACTTACTTTTTAATGTCTGAATTTTTATCTATGATTACTTTAATTTGAAATTATAAATAAGGGGCCCATGGGCACTTACAGTCACTTGAGTATCATATTGATCATTCATTGTTTTTAATCTATCATGAGATACATGAAAACATGACAACCATGAAGACTGTGTAAAAATTTCATGTGCATTACTATTCTCAACAATTCTCCTACCACAAAATCAAATGCTTACTAATCAATTTTCTCTCAAACCTTGAAAATTTGCTCCCACAAAAATATGTGATTTTATGGTTTGTCTTGTAAAAATTGGTTGTATGATCTGCAATCCAAATGCCTTTCTATGAGATTTTATTCATAAACATACAACAATCTTCCTGTCAGATATGCATGATTATGATAATTAGAAATCAGATCCCACCTGTAGCATTTGGTTGTCTAGAGACAGGTGCCCCATCCATACATTATTGAGCAGTGTCTGACAGGCTGTCTGAGAAATGAACTTTTTATTGTTGGACTCCACAGCCAGTAATACACATGTGGCAGCCCCCCAATGTTCCAGCTCTCGAATCAATAGATTCTGAGCCTTTTTCTCTTCCACATCGTAACATTCATTTAACACTGCTATGGCAAGATCTGAGAATTCCCTACAAGTAAATAACATTATCACTTAATTGTTTCCCTGTAATCAACTTGATATTTATAATGTTTGCAGAAAACTTTCTGCTTGAAGAATATTATTTTGGTGCTTTTATGACATTAACATTTAAATGCTACAGCTGGGGTAATATTAATTATAAAACAAAGCATACAGTGAATTGGCTTTGAGTTTTTTGGCTAACTCTGTATCATCGGTCTCCCTGGCTAGAGAACTCAACATCCCACTCGCCACAAGTGCTGCAGCTGTGGCATCCTGAAACAAACCACCAAATAAGATTGTACGTAAAAAAAAAAAAAAAAAGAAAAAAAAAGAGAACATCTGGGGAATCAAAGTAATAAATAAATCATCTTTACGCACATTAACTCAGCCAATAGAAAACTTGATGTTTTGTTCAACATTCATAATGCGACTTTAATTATGATATTTTATGAAAAGACGGAGTGTCTACAAAGATAATAAAGTTTTAAGTTCTGTAATTGTTTGTTAGGTGAAGAAAAATCACAAATGCAAATAACCAGCTGGGTTGGTCCATAATCAGATAGATCACAAGCTGTGTGTATTTTTAAATACAATCTTACTTTTCCTCCTTTCCATAAAATTTTGGCCATTTCCTGTCTGTTTAGTAAAACCGCCCAGAGGAACAGTTCCTGGAAAGGATTATCAAAATCTGGTACCTGGTACTCGTCAGAGGTCAAAAGGTCATTATCCATGGATTCTGAAAGCAAAGAGAATTGGTTTTACTCAGCAAAAGCAAACAACTGAATGCAATCTCATTATAAGCTGTTCAGGGTAGGGGGGATGAATTAAAAATTAATTTTCTGAGTGAATGATATTAAAACTAAAACTGGAATTGGAAATAAGACCATTAGAATATCTCCAAAACTTCTATTGTATTTTTAATACATAATAAATTAAGCCTTATATACAGAAGTCACAAGTGTACAATACTGGTGAAGGGTACTCATTAAAATTATAAAAGTAGTTTGTCTACTAATAAAGGTTTTTAAAGGTGTGCTATATTAAACTATACTTTCAAAATATAATTAACTTAGCTCTGCCATGGAACTTGCACTGTGGAAAAAGGTTCCATGAATTTCTCAATTTAGGATGAGAGTTTTTTAATGCATGTGCTTGTTATTTATGAATCTTTGCAAAACACCCAAAGGAATTGGGGGGGGGGGGGGGGGGGGATTGCATGAATTTTACTTGTGTTTTTTTTTCTCCTACATACCTAAAATATACCAAATTAGGTGAGAATGGTGCAAACATTTCAAAGAAGCTGGAAATATTTGAAGTTTTTTTTTTCAACATTTACAACTGTTGCAAAGAAATAGACATGGGTTAAAGTGTGATTAAATTAAAATTAAACAAGCTATTTCAGAGAATTCATGTCCCCCGCTAAGGGAAAAAATCGGATCCCCCCTGACTGAATTTGTAGAATTATTCAATGTATACATGTATACTGAAGCAAATAAAATACATGTATGTCAATATGCATATAAAGATTTGATTGCTTACTCTTTATTATGTGTATAGAAGATTCTTTTTATATGGAATATTTATCACACTGTAATGATGATTTTATAACCTCATATTTTTTTCATTTCACATGCTGAATACTATCATTTAGTAAAAAAGAAAAGAAAAGTATTTAAAAAAAAAAAAGAAATGGATAGGCCGAGATTCGATCCCGGGACCTCTTACATTTGAAGCGAGTGACATAAACACTAGACCACGGAATCGCTTTACACCGTCCATGTTACAGGCAGTAAAGTATATGCAGAACTGAAGTCACATACATGTATATATTCATATTTTCATGTTCGGTATTCTCAAAATTTTACACAATCCATGGTGTTTTATTTATTTAGCCTTTATCAAACAGTTCTAAAAGATGTAATAAGAACATAAAGTCCGCCGAGAACCTGTTTTATACGCAATAACTCTCCTCATGCCCCTGTGCTAAAAATAGCGACATGTAATACTATAAATACTAATAAAACAAACGGGGCGGGGCACTTTAAGAGGGGCGAGATACGTCCTAGGGAGTTTGGGTATAAAATTACATTGCATAAGCTCAAAATCTTCTTGAAATTTCGCCCGGAAATGATAGTGTTACACACAGACAGAATGTATAAATTTACGACCTTGAACTTTGACCTTTTGACCTCAAAATCAATAGGGGTCTTCATTAGGCCACAGGGAGTTGTTATGTAAAATTTCATTGCAATAGCTCAAATGGTTCTAGAGATATCGTGTGGAAACGAAAGTGTTTTAACAGACAGAATTTGCTTATTTATGACCTTGACCTTTGACCTTTTGACCTCAAAATCAATAGGGGTCTTCTTTAGTCCATAGGGAATTGCTATGCTTAATTTCATTGCAAAAGCTCAAACGGTTCTTGAGATATCGTGTGGAAACGAAAGCGTTACAGACAGACAGAAAGACGGACGGACGGACAAATCCAAATTAATATCCCCCACTTTTCAAGCGGGAGACAAAAAAAATCGAGAGGAAAAAAAAAAAAAAATCAGGCAAAAGACCAAGAGTTCACTAGAAATTCCCAGTCTCAATTTTTCACCACTCACTTTAAAATGCCATTTGTTTTAATTGAATTGAATTCATAAAATGGTAGACTTATGTAATTATCTTTAAATATTTAATTTTGCGTAATTGCCGCTATGGAATCAATATTTTGTGCAAAGTAAGTTAAAAAGATATTTATCACTTTTTACGGTGATATTAAAGCAGCTTCTCTGTATCTGTGTATGCTCTTTAATTATAATCAATAAATTATCACTTACAAACAATATAATAAAAAGTATAGTATACTGCCTATAGTCATCAACCTCAGCTTTTATTTTATAGACTTGTTAAATGAACTCTAATAAAAAGTACAGTCTTCTGTTTTCAGCATTAATTAAGTCAGGAGAGAATAAACATCATTAGTCTTGAGAAGTGGGCAGATATTGGAAAAGAGTAGGACATTTTAAACCACCATCAGGCAATATTAAAGCCACTGGCCCCCAATAATGTAGGCAGGCATTAGTTAACAGATGAGTGTGATATGTTCTCAAACCACAAATGCAATGAAAAACTTGTCACTGAGCATGCAGTATCTAAAGACATATATGGGCATGGAAGTGAATGCCTTTGATGTCACTGTGCATGTGTGGCAATGAATCTATGTGATCAACACAATTAGAAATTATTCAATATATGTTTATCTTTTTAAAATAATTAAAATGCATTATAACTGAAAAGCACTGAAGACTGATCAGACAGTATTAAGCCACAAGCATATCTAAAGCAACATGCAATGTTTAAATTCTGTAGTTTGAACGAGATAATGAAATTAAAATTGCATGTACATGCATATCTGTTCATCATTATGCTGAAGAAAATCATGTGAAAATTTGATGTGAAAAATTTACACTGACATACTGCAAGTAGATTTTACCATAACAATGCCCCCACATTTTAATTTGATACTGTAATCATCTGCATGCAAAAGATACTTTGCCAGCTGAGGACTATACCTTGCTTCTTCCCAGTTGCCATGGATAATATTCCCTTTTTGATCCCTGGCATGCCCATACACTTTGCCGACACCCCATCCAGGAGGTACTCCACGTCCAGGTCCCTAACCTTGGGGTCCAGCAGGTACCAGGGGGTGTAGAAATCCCCAATCAGGTCCTGGATCAAACAACCCACATCCACCAAGGAAATGTACTTTGCCTATTTTGATATCAGAAAAACAATTCTATAGGCTTTATTGCATGGTTAAAAGTTTCTCTACAAATGATAAAAAGCTTTCCTTACCTAACCTAAAAACAATTATGGGTGCGTGTTTAAATGCATGTGAACATGTCTTTCATATACAGTCAATTCTCAAATTATCGCCATTCGATTCATCGCCAATTTCGCCATGCTGCCAGGATTTCCCAAGAACGTTTCTCCCGCTATATAAAATTCTCTTTATAACGCCAAATTCGCATACCGCCATCCGCCACCCTGTTTTCACAACAAACGTCCATTTCAAAGTGTCAATTATCTCGTTATACCGCCACAGGTGCATGCGGTCAGTGAAGCGTGGCTAATTGGTTTATGCTATCCTTGTTGTAAAGCATGCAAAGGCGGACAAAGTACATGCAATTAAGTAATTAAACAAGAATTAAATAAACAAATATTTTAACATGAACTGTTATAATAATTTTGTTTTCTGTTTAATAAAAATCATTTAGTCACGGCTTTGTCACGAAAGCGGTCATTGTTAAACTTAGTACGCCGATAACGATATCATTTTGATGATCTCTGCTTTAAACAATGCAAAGTTTGATGAAAAAATAATGATATGTTTTATTAACAATGATGCCATAAACAATGAATTTATTCAAGAATTCATTTTATGTACAGCAATATATTACGACGATCGACCCAGTGATTTTTTTTTCAATATCAGACGTGCAGATTTACATGCATACACATGTATTTATCTTTATTTCATAACTGCACATTTTGTTTTCGCGAAATTGCACATTAAAAAATATTTGAAGTATTTTCAATCAGAAATATGTTTTATTATACATGTACATGTAATAATTCGACTAGAATCGCTAAATGGTATTTCTAAGAACGGTAACTCTACTTCTTGTGTTCTAAAAGACAGGAAATTCAATTCATCGCCAAATTCGTTATACCGCCATGATTTCTAAATTACAAAAGGTGGCGATTTATCGAGAATTAACTGTATATGTATGCAAATAATTAATATATATCTGCATGTAAAATTTATTTACGCCTTCTTCCAATTAGTACATGTATTTTTAATACCTACAGATTTATAATTATTGTGTTAAAATAATTTCTGTTTTATTAAACTTTATATCAAGAAGATATGAATCATTTTTTTAAGAGCATTAAATCATCATTAGATACTTTCTCTTACATTTCCATTTTTCCGTCGAATTTTATCCAGCATCTGATACAGTTGAGTATTTTTGTTTATCTGTAAAATAAAACATATATAAAAATAAATTGTGTTCTGACAGCTAATTAACATTTTATTCTATACATGTAAAATGTCATAAAAATTAATGTTTAAACGTGGCAAGATTCAGAAACTTATAATATTATGCTATACTAAAATGAGCTTCTGAAAGCTAGCAGACACATAAAGCCAGGTATTCCAAAGCAAACAGTCAAGACTCATTGTTTTAAACTTGATAGGGTACGAAAAAAAATCAGCATATTCTAAAGATTTCAGATACAAAGGGTATCATAAAATATGATATAAGAAATTGGTTGGAACTAAAAGTTCACTTTAAATGTTTGAATTTTGAAGTTATAAACTGCATGTACATGTTACTTGCTTTATTGTACTGCTTATCTCCCCTTTATTAAAGCAATGATGTAAATGTACACTGCAGCTATTGTACAGTAGACTTGATCTGCTGAAAAATACAATACTTCAAAGACTTGAAGTGATATAAGTACCAGTAGAGGATGGAATTTACTTTTTATGCCCCCCCCCCCCCCCACCACCACCAAAAAAAAAAAAAAAAATAAACAATCTGCATAGAACTATATTTGGCATGTATGAGGGTATTTCACTTTCGATGACTGCCCTCTTCAAAGTATGTCCCTATAATGATAAACAAAATCTCAGAATTTTAGTGGAACTTTTACTCAATTTACAATTCGCACATTAATCAATATACCTGTAATATACCTGTAACTTATTAAATAGTTGTTGTTGTCAATTAATGTTTATAGACATTGTTTTCTTTTACAGTTCAGCCTTGACATATTATGATGCATAATATAATTTTAATTACAAGAAACAGCTGTCTTCTCAGTTGCCCCATGCAGTCAAACATAAATAGATGATTTTTCTCTGATTACCTAATCCCTTTGTGGTAAACTTAAAAACATATGACATCCTGTTTACCTCACCAAACAAACTTTCCATCATTATACGGAAATCATCAGTAATAGAATACAATCAGTTACAGTATTACATCAAGCTTATATCTACTTTTGATTATGAAATCATAACAGCAAGCATATATTACTTCTATCAGTATTATTTGACTTTCACGTTTTTATTATCATTGTTAAGTGATAAAATAATTGTACCTATTAAAAATATGTCAATAAATTAAAACAGATTTTCACTTGTATTCCCTAGAATCGAATTTTTTTTTTAACCTTTTGGTTAAATGAATATTGTTTCTATCTGGTATCTATAAATGTTCTTAATCCAAGTCAATAATTGATAAAAATGAATTTTCAATGAACATTCAAGAAAATAAGCACATTCTGTTTAAAATATAAGGTCATCAGTTTTGTATGAACAATGAATTATATATATATACCCTTGGCTTAAATTATAGAGACATTTGAGGAATACGGTATGTTAAAAAATAAAACAAAACAGGTGGGGGTATATTTTCTATTAAAAGAGAAAAAATTCAAGTTGGGGATATATATTTTTCATAAAAACAAAGATAAACAAGAGGTGTTTGTGAAACACTTATGCATCCTCCCCCTGGACATACTTGCGAAGAAAATGAAAAGAAACTGCAGATAATTTGAAATTTTCTAATTCTACGGGAATAATTCTGTCAATAATTGCACGATAGTATCCAAAAAAATAATTGACCTAGATATTCTTATGAACCTTAAATTTTGCTTTTACCAAGTTGAGGAAAATTCAATACTTTATAATTATTACTAATTAATTATAATTATTAATATATATTGGGGGGGGCTGCTAGAAGTAGTGCTTTGTAGTTTGCTTTAGCTAGTTGCTTGGTACATTATGCTTTTAGTAGCTTGGTGTTGGTGGCCTATAAGCTTTTAGCTTTCAGTTCTATCAGGCTCCCTCCACAGCTGTCTCGGAGCACCGGTCGGAGTACGTTCTGATTATAGGTTATCTTCACAAGTGCATGACAACGGTTCTCGCCCGCCCTCCCGGGGAACGCAGCTTCGCGGCTGTTAGTAGCAGACTCAGTAATGAGGTCATGTGCTGGGGTCCCTTAAAGTCTATGGCATGCATGACTCAGCGGCGTGTGGATACGCTCTGGTGCCAAGACAAATACCAAGTGACCTATCACTTAAAATAGGTGGTGTTTTCTGCGTTACCTATAGACATAGGAAGAAACTTCTGATCCTGCTTGTATCGAAGAATGGGGGCGATGAGAGGATCTCATCTCAATTCGGCTCACAGTATTCATTTGAGGAGTAGCGACCCAAGTGAATTATCATCGCTTCGTAAACCAACCATGAACACGTCTCGTAAGCCAAATCCTATACTTCCAGCTCCGGGAGTGAGCAGGAACCCTGCCATCAATACTGAAGCTAGTCGCTCGCATCAGCGACGGAATGAAGATGTCACCACAAACCGGAACCCTCGGGGGGTGACATCTGAGAACAGTGGACGTATGAAGGCATTTTTACGTTGTAAAGAAACAACTAACATTGCAACCTACAACTTCAACACACTACTTGATGAGGATAAGAAGTGGGAACTACAGCATTGCAGTCAGTTGCAACACATAGGAATTCTAGGTGTGCAAGAGCATCGCATCATACACTCTGACCCCATTGAGTATACCAAGTTTGATACAAGCACTCTAGTGACTTCATCTGGATGGAAAAATAAATCCCAAGCAGCTCAAGGTGGAGTTGGACTCCTCTTAGACAGGAAAGCTAGAAAATCTCTACTGAAAGTTGTCCCATCTAAGAGTGGAAGAATACTAGTAGCTGATTTCGATGGAAATCCTCGTACAACCATCATAGTTATCTATGCTCCTACCAACTGTGCAGAGGACTCTGTCATCGAGGAATTCTACACAGAGCTTAGAAACGTACTACAGGATATACCAGCCCACAACTTCCTTGTAGTCATGGGAGATTTCAACGCTAGACTGGGACCTGAACATGTACCTCATCCATTTCATGAACTAACAAATAGAAGTGGAAACTATCTTGCTGAAATTCTCGTTGAATTTGGTCTACTAGCAGTAAACACACAATTTAAGAAGCGCTCTGGAAAACTTTGGACATTCAAATGTAGAGCATCCAACACACTGAGACAACTTGACTACATTCTCGTTCGGCAAAAATGGAGAAATAGCGTCCATAACGCAGAAGCGTACAACTCCTTCAGCACAGTGAAGTCCGACCACAGAATAGTGTCTGCAAAGATCAAGCTCAGTCTAAGAACCTCAAAAACAGCCCAGAAAGTTAAATATGACTGGAAACAGTTCGCCAGAAATACTGAGCTACAGAAAAAATACACAGTCGCTGTTAAGAACAGATTTCAAATTCTGATGGATGAGAGCAACAGCGAAAGATACGAAAAGTTCGTAAAAGCCAATCAAGAAGCAATGAAAGAATGTCTCCCTAAACGAGCTAAAATCAAGAAATCACTCAGGTCATTGGACCCCAGAGTTTCTGAAGCTCGCCAGAAAGCACAAGTAGCCCAGAGGCAATATGAGTCATCTAAAACTGACGAAGACAAAGATCTCTGGTCTGCAGCAGTAAATAACCTTTATCAAGCATACAAGCTGGCACAAGAAGAAGATCTAGCTGAACAGATAAAAGGTATTGAAACAGCACATGGAGAGCAAAGATACGGTGAGGCATGGAAAGTCGTTAACGAGATCACTGGTAGAAAGAAAGCTAAGGAAGGACAAGTAGCCGGAAATAGCCCTGAAGAGAGAGTCAGTACATGGTATACGCACTTCAAGAATCTCTTAGGAAACCAACCTGATGTAGACGAGCCTGAAGAGGAAATTCCAATTGTGTTCGATGATATCGATATCAATGATGAACCTTTCACTCTAGCTGAATACAGAAAAGTGAAGTCTTCCCTGAAGCTAGGCAAGGCAGCAGGTCCGGATGAAATACCCCCAGAAGTCTTCAAACTGTGTGACTTTGATAGTGTTTGTTTAGATTTCTGTAATGATGCACTCGCCAACAACGACAAACCAGATACATGGTCATTCATGAACATTGTAACTGTGCCCAAATCTGGCGACCTATCGAAGACTGATAACTACAGAGGCATCAGCTTGATATGCATCATAGCCAAGATTTACAATCGGCTCATACTAAATCGTATCAGGAGTGTCATAGATCTACGTCTCAGAATAAATCAGAATGGTTTTCGACCTGGAAGAACAACAGTTGCACAGATTCTTGCCCTCCGTCGAATAATCGAAGGTGTCAAAGCCAACAACTTGAAAGCAATCTTTACTTTTATAGACTTTCGGAAAGCATTTGTCTCCATACACAGAGGCAAGATGATACGCATACTTAAGGCATATGGAATTCCACATAATCTTATTCGAGCAATCGAAAAGATGTACACTAATACCATGGCCAAGATCGTAACACCTGATGGGGAAACTAGTATGTTTGAAATAACTGCTGGAGTTTTACAGGGAGATACCTTAGCACCATTCTTATTTATCATAGTACTGGACTATGCCCTGAGGAAGGCCATCTCTGGAAATGAAGAGGAACTGGGTTTCACCATACTGCCTAGAAAATCCAGAAGGCACCCAAAACAAGCTCTTACTGATCTTGATTTTGCTGATGACATTTCCCTACTATCAGATGAAATTGTCCAAGCACAGGAATTGTTATCTAGAGTAGAGAGGGAGTGTAAGAAAGTTGGGCTATGCATCAATGCCAAAAAGACTAAAGTCCTCCCATTCAATACTGACAACCCTTCTCCACTCAAAACCTTAGATGGCACTGAAATCGAATGGGTAGAAGATTTTAAATATCTTGGATCCTGGGTTGAAAGTTCAGAAAAGGACATAGCTGTGCGGAAAGCTTTAGCCTGGCAGGCTCTGAACAAGATGTCCAGAATATGGCGCTCAACAATGCGAAGTGATCTCAAGTTGCGTTTCTTCATAGCCACAATCGAGTCAATTCTACTGTATGGCTGTGAGAGCTGGACCCTGACAGTAGCCCAGGAGAAGTCGCTAGACGGAACCTACACACGCATGCTCCGTAAGGTTTTAGACATCCACTGGTCAAGACAGATTCCCAACGAGTCACTATATAGTAACCTCCCAAAGGTCAGTGATAAGATAGCCTCCAGGAGATTGCAGCTAGCTGGGCATTGCTTCCGTCATCCAGAGCTCAGCGCTCAACCTTTGGTACTGTGGGAGCCAAATCACGGACACCGTAGGAGAGGTAGACCCAAGGCCACGTTCTTAGACACACTGAAGCGTGACACAAAGACAAGGGATACAAAAGAGCTAGCTACCCTAATGGCTGATAGGAAGAATTGGAGTGGTCATGTAGTTGGTCGTCTAAGGACGACTGAGTGAGTGAGTGATAATTATTACAGTTATTGGGGATCTGAAATAAAACAGGCATTATAAAAACCTGAAAAATATTAATGAAAAAAAAAATATATAAATATACAGTTGTTTTTGCCTAGGAAAGGAAAGAACACAATGTAATGTGCAAATGAGAGTGGCAGAGTAAACCAAAGACATACCCATGAAGCTTGGTGAAAATAATAAAAAAAACATTCATGGTTGTTTAACTTTTCAAGCTGATAAAGCTGCATATCACTCTAATATATAATTATAGCACTCTAATGGGCATCATTTTTGCAAAGGTGACAAAGTGCAAACTGATGTTAGTATTTTCTTTTTTGTAAAAAAGCTTGATTCAGAAGTCACTGTGATAATTTATTGTCTTCACTCTTAGACATTTACTAGTAAATTGTAATTGCACAAAGTTAACAGACACACATAACCAATTTAAGAAAGACTATAATATTGTTAGATTATACATGAAGAATGCTCAATATTCTGACCTCTTGTATAGTGTGGTGTGAAGAAAAAGACAGGTCTCTCTACAATTCATGATCAACATATAAAACATACAATATCTACCATCTATGGGAAACAAAATTTGAAAATAAGTCTTTTTATCTATAAAATGCAGGTAAAATATGAAAACTTTTTTTTCACGCACGAAGTACAAAATGAAACTAGAACAAACAAATAAACAAAAAAAACAAACAAAGAACTGTAAGAGTTAATCAGTTTAGTAATTCTTTTTTAGGCATTCCATCAGGACCAAGAAGAAGGTACAGTTTCAATACAAATAAAGCCCTATATTTTTCTAAAATATGAAAGTGATATAAGAAATTAAAATTAATTCTTTCTGAATCATAGGAATTCTTTGCAGTAAGAATACACAAATGGTTTTTCTCATATGACCTCCTAAATGCCAATTGTGACGTCATTAACTTGTGCATTTTCCCGTATTTTCTTAAAAATTTGCAGAAGACCTCAATTTTCAGTGGAATTTTCTTTCAGAAAACATACTCTGCCACCGTCGCCCGAACAGATTTTAAGATATGTGATTTTTCATAGCTGTTTGTATAATATATCCAAAAATTAAAGCGGGCGACAGTGGCAGACACTATTTTCTATAGGAAAATTGGCATAAAAACAAGTCATTTAAAAGCTTTTCTGCATTAAACTTAATAAAGTGCCGCGCCACAGCATGATACGCCCGTCAAAAAATTACAATTTTCCTGAACAGTTTAGGTGCAAGAAAATCACATCAACCTTGATTCTAAGATTTCGATGATTTTTCCATTCCTTAAAATAGTATCCATCCCCTGTGATGTAGGCATCAATTATAATAAATATTACATCACTGATAGATTTCTGTGCTGGTTGTGTTAGACCTTGTCAAATGCCCATCATCAAATTAGTCTTAACAACTTAATCTATACCAAATTAATTTTGAAAAAAAAGGCTGGCCATCAAATGACATATGTTATAAACTGACCAGCAGTTCTTCTGTCTAATCCCCAAAGGGCTGCTTAATCAGAGTGACTGAGACAGCTAGCCTTCCTACATTGAACTCATTAATTAATCTTTAACTGGATGCTTGTCTACTCATTACTACCAAGAGATGAATGGGTCTGCACTATCTACTATAATTTTTTTAAAAACATATAAAATACTCTCAGATTTTTTTTTTTGGTTGATATTTAATGTCCGACAGGTTTTAGTATGTAATTCATATGGACATGCTGATTTAACCCCACCCCATAAAATTAGTTTTTAAATTAATAATATTACATAATATCAGATGAGTCTATTATGCAATATCAAATTAGTTTTAATTACTTTTCATCAAATTCATTTCAAAACTTAAGCTAGTCAACAAGAGCTATTTTTAATCAACCCAATTCTCAAGGGATATAGATAATGCCAATTCTCTGTCAGTTAGCTCCTGGCACTCAGAACCCATTAATTTCTCTCTAATTTGACATGCAATTTTCTGTTATCAAAATTCTTCTTGACCAGTGCTTGATAATTACACTCATGGGAGACATGGGATTTCTCTAACATACATTATATTTGTTTTAGATTGCTGTCAAGTATATGCTTAAAAAAAATAAGTATTTTCTTGATTTAACACTTTTTTAATAAGAACAGTGCAATACTCTTACATTATTTGGGATGTGTAAATGCATGGTAAAAAGACACTTTTTTTTTTTTTTTTTAAAATTCACTTAAATTAAAGGTCACAGTGACCTTGAAATAGGTCGCGACACACCTTCTACCTAAGATGCATAAACTGGCCAAGTTTGATGATTGTAGGTCTTATGGTTTTCTAGTTACATGTATGGGCCGGAAAGGATTTTTCCATATTTGGCTATAACTTCTGAATTAAAGGTCAGAGCGACCTACTTTTTGTGCGCGACACACCTTCTACCCAAGATGCATCAGATGACAAAGTTTGATAATCCTAGGCCTTGTAGTATTAAAGTTATGAGCCGGAAACGAAAAAGCTAACAGACAGACGGACAGACGGACGGACATGAAGCCTATAACATAATACGTCCCGTCTTAAGACGGGCGTATAAAAATGTACCAAATTAATGACGTCATATTTTCAAGAAAGGCTCTTCTTCATGCTTTATTCTTTAATGATTTATCATGTTCATCTACTCAACTACTGTTAAAGCCAATTTCATAACTTTTTAAGAACATTAAATTTTTAGGGCACAATAAAGCTTAAACCGTACCATCTTTTTTGAGGCAATAACGGATAGGCACCTTAAACAGAAGATAAATATTATTTAGGACATACCTGATTATAGAGCTTGAGAAGCCTTTTCTTGGTTAGGAAGTCTTTTAGGTTGACGCCATTGTCCATCAACAGTTCTACGAAGCCTACCCGGTTCAGGATTAAGGCCGACTGCATGATCTCAAACAGCATGTTAGTCTGAAGAAGACAGTTGTTTTTTTAATGAGGGTTTACTCAAATTTCAATACCCTAAAATTTTTGAGAAATTTTAAATTTACATTAGAGGATCCCCTGACTTTTCAAGTACCCTTTTGTAAATATGACTAAATTTTATTTAATGTACCCTATCTTCGTGATAATAATGCTAAAATAACCAATTAAATTTCCTGTTTTTCTCCTTCTCTTTTATCTTGATAATTTTTTTCTTGCGATAAAAGAAGCAGTATGGATTATGGAATTAGAGAGATATTTATTATGCCTGGATGCAAGCTATTCTCTCACCTCTCCAACATTGTATTGTAGCAAAGTATAGAAAATCAATATCCTAATGGAATTAATATGCATGAAGTCATTGCAATTTCTTCACCTATAGTTATGTCTTGTACTTATTTTACCATGATTAAAATTTAATGCAGCCTTTATAAGCTAATTAAATTGTAAATAAGCACTATAGTTGTTTTCAATTATCTAAATATTAACCTATTTTAATTTTTGCACTGATCATAGATTAGCGAAATAAAGCCAATACATGCCACATATTGCGACCAAACCTTATAATGATTCCACCTAAAGTATACAGGAGTATAGCTAAATCTCCACTGTCATTACACTTTAGAGAAAAATATACATTCTAAACAATATTTGAAAGCATTTCCTCAAAATTACTCTAGCAACTAGGCAAGCAATTTCAAAGTCTAGCTGGTCAATGGCAAACAAATTTTGATTTTATAAAAAGCATCATACCAATTTCTTAAACCTATGATGATTTACACCATCTTTTAACTGAAATCATAGTTATATCATGAAATATTATTAACAGCACATGTAATTCATCTTTTATGATAAACACTATTAGAAATAAATGTGTATACATGAGCTTGTTTTGGTGAGGCTGGAATGTTAAGGGTCAGATTACTTCAACCCCCCCCCCCAAAAAAAAATTCCAGTCCAATCCATCCCTTCCTTAAACACTCTGAAACAGTATTTCTGGTCTTAATCCTTACAATATCATAAGGGAAAATAAAATGCAAATAATTATATAAATCAATAAATACTCTCCATAGATTATACCTGAATGAAACGGTCATCTGTAAAGATTTCACTTTTGGCAATATCTATTCTGTTCCAAGCTAAAGCTAACTTCAACTGGTCAAAGATCTGATCCTTATTTGCTGTAAAATGAAAGTAAAATTTATTATTCCATTTTGAAAAATTTTAAAGGCAATTTGATGTTCATGTTTTCAAAAATTTAAATCATCAAAGAATTCAACACTGCACTAAACATTTTAACACTGTACTACTTAAAAATATATGTGTATACTTGGAGAAAAAGATATTGATGTCAACAGTATAGTTTTCATGAAAAAAGCTGAAATATTTCTTAAACTTCATTGTCCTTGACCTTAGACAAGATTAGATACTGACCCCTGAGTAGTGCCTGGAGAATGGCCTTGTCAATGTCTTTGGATGACCCCCGACCTCCAATACTGAACTCAAACACAGTGATCAAGTCCCGATTTTTCAGGGTCTCCTTCACCATCTCGCAGTGACTGACAAGGTTCTTTTTCCCAAAATTCTCTTCTACCTGATTCCTTATTTCTGCTTCTACCGAGGCATCAAATATTGTCTGTGTTCTGTAATACATGTAAAATGTCTCAGAGTTTAAAACCTAAACTTCTGTTTGTTTTTAAATGCATGATATTCCAAATGCTAAATTATCAGTAGTTCAGTCATTTTTTTCATGGAAACGTTTGAATCATCATTATAAGAAAATCTCAAAACAGACCAAATGGTATGAAAATTGATGGAGTAACAACAGTTTCTAAGACAGGTTCCCAGCTTACATCTTTTTTGTTTTGCCCTCTTGATCCATAGCTTCTATTTCCTCGCCTGAGGAATTCTGGTATGCAAAAGCTAAAATGTCTGCTGCTCTTCCAGAACCCTACAAAGGAAGCAAACACTTAAATCATTCACAATGGTTGATTAAATTTATATGCAAATACAATCGAATCTAAGAGCCCTGTTTAAGTGTGTTCGATTTAAGAGCTCTGTATATGTGTATTCAAAGAGACATAACTCGAGATAATTTTCTTCAAAAATGAAAGATTCGTTAGTACATGCAGGTGCATGTCTAAAGATTAAAGCAACATATACCTAAAAAGATGAACTACTGAAACTAAGTTAAAGATATCATAAAATCTGTATAATGCAGTATAATGGTAATATATCATAATTTTTGAAATAACAAATACCCAAAAAATTTTCACGTAATTAAAGAATATAAATGTATATACATGTACAATATGATATTAATCCTACAATATCTGATCTACTCTGAATATGATATTAAATACCTGGACTATGACAATGGGTGTGTTATTGGCGACAGCTTGATGGGCCGTTTCCAGTGTACCAGGACCTCCTTCTAACACTAGCAGTACCACAGGCACATAAACAGAGGCATCTAAACAATACAAACAAGAGAATCAAGCATTTCACTAGGGAAAAATACAAAAAGTAAAACTACCTTAAACTTCAAACAACCAAAAACAGTGTTTAATGTAAACTCTTGAGATCTGAATTTGTGATTCATATAGTTCTTAAATAATATATTCTCTAGACACCATCAAAGTAATAATTTGCAATTTTTTTTCCTCTTGCATATACTGTAAATCACTTTTTATTCGCGAGAACTTTATTTTCGCGTAATTACGCAAGACAGTGTGCTCGCGAAAATTTAATTCTCGCGTAGAATAGTATTCCTTAAGAATATATAAAGCAATAACCACAACTCGTGAAAATTTTGTCTCGCTAATCAAGAGTCAATGACTATATCGCGAAAATAAGGTGTCGCGAAAATTTGGTGATCTACAGTACTCATGGATGAACATGTGCATGCAGATTTAATGATTCAATCACTGAAATATCAGCATGTATTCTTGGCTCAAAAGTAATCTCTGAGAGGCATAGACAGGATACAGATTTTAACTTTTTTCTATCAGTGATCTTTAAGTTCCACAATTGACCTTTATTAAGTCAAGATCGGTACAGACTGTAAGCTCATAAGGAATCTTAGTGTTAATTATAAGCTTCCAATGTGTCTGTATTAGAAAGTTATGTTCTGACTCAGACAGACTAACCAGGGTAATTCTATAAACACCCCCCCCCCCTTCGAACTTTGATTGGTTAAGGGGTATAATTAAAAGGTATTATAGTCCAATGTATCAGTATATGTAAAGGAAAATGTCATAAACTTTTCTCCCCCTCACACATAGGCTACAATCACATATGTCTTAATAAAAGGAAATGGCAAGAAGATTTATGAAATTTCAGGAAATGTTACAAAATTTCTGTTAAAGTTCAGCCAAAGAAATTCATGTAAGTAAGACATGTTAGAATAATAAAACTTTGATTAAAGCTGGATCTACGTTTCAGTTCATGAGTTTAACTTTGTGTGGGTGCAAATGACTTGTATATTTCATTAATGTCAGTGAGGTCACAAGCACAGAAATAGCACATGGCACCACTACCGAAAAGCTACACATAATGCCTGACATTACATTTATTATCAATCAATGAAATTTTTTTTGTCATAACTTGATATCAATTCATGCTTGTTTTATACTCAAGAATATTGATGGAATGATTACAATTTGTACTAAGGCTAAAAAAAATTGAAGTTAAGGTTCTCAGGCCCGTGAACATCAGTTTCGAGGTTGCCATTCAAAATTTTATTGTATTTTGATAAAATAAAAAGTTTGTAATGCAGAGATCAATTCAAAAAAAGTTCTGACCTCATTTTCTCATAGTTTAGTACATGTACTTGAATATCGTTTCCGGTAGTCATTTAAAAGAGACTTGGCTACCTTGATGAAAAATACATTCAAAGACAATGCCTATGATGTTCATACAATGGATAATGCAAACCTATTGATCAGAAATGGAAAGTATGGGGAATATATCACTCTATAAAATTTTTTTTTATCAATTAATAAAAACATAGGTAATCAGAGATTACAGAGCTCACCTCAACGAATGTTGTCTTTAAGTAAGGCAAAGTCACACAATTAACCAACAAAAAGTGTACATTCCAAAAATGAAAATATTAAAGCAATTTTGATCTGATACTTTGAACAGACCTACATAAAAAATTTAAACTAGTTCTTCTTCATGAAAATGTAATTAAAATCCAGAATCTGAAGCAAATTTGAGAGTTTTCATCTCTTGATGCAACATTTGTGCAAGTTTGGTTTATACAATGTTATGTAAGCCTTATAGTTTTTTGGTATTAGACTTGCACTCATAACTTTTACCTGGTCTATTATCTGAAAAATGCATGTCGAATTCAGCATCCGAAGCAAGTCCATTAGTTTGCATCCTAAGATTTATTGTCCATGCAAGTTTGCTCATTATAGGGCTCATAGTTAATTGGAATAAAACATGCATCAAAAACTAACATTTTTACTCATCCACAAAAAGTAGGTCAGATTCAGCATCTGTAGCAAGCCTGGTAGTATGCATCCTTATATGTATTATCCATGCAAGTTTGGTCATTAAAGAATCATAGATACTTGGAAATGAATCATGCATTAACTTTAACCTATTCACTCAACCGGAAAATGTAGGTCAGATTCAGCATCCGAAGCAAGCCTGGTAGTATGCATCCTTAGATGTATCATCCATGCAAGTTTGGTCAACATAGGGCTTATAGTTACTTGGAAATGAAACCTGCACCAAAAACTTTAACCTGTTCACTCAACCGGAAAAGTAGGTCAGATTCAGCATCTGAAGCAAGCCCGATAGTATGCATCCTTAGATGTATCATCAATGCAAGTTTGGTCAACATAGGGCTTATAGTTACTTGGAAATGAAACCTGCACCAAAAACTTTAACCTGTTCACTCAACCGGAAAAGTAGGTCAGATTCAGCATCTGAAGCAAGCCCGATAGTATGCATCCTTAGATGTATCATCAATGCAAGTCTGGTCAACATAGGGCTTATAGTTACTTGGAAATGAAACCTGCACCAAAAACTTTAACCTGTTCACTCAACCGGAAAAGTAGGTCAGATTCAGCATCTGAAGCAAGACCAATAGTATGCATCCTTAGATGTATCATCCATGCAAGTTTGGTCAACATAGGTCTTATAGTTACTTGGAAACGAAACCTGCACCAAAAACTTTAACCTGTTCACTCAACCGGAAAATGTAGGTCAGATTCAGCATCCGAAGCAAACCCGATAGTATGCATCCTTAGATGAATCATCCATGCAAGTTTGGTCAACATAGGGCTTATAGTTACTTGGAAATGAAACCTACACCAAAAACTGCACCAAAAATGTTAACCTGCTCCAAAAACATTAACCTGGTCATTCCTTTGCTGAAATTGCAGCATCTGAAACTTTGAATGGTGCAATGAAACACACTAGAACCATCCTCCATGCATGTCTAATCCATATAGGACATAGAAGTAGTTAAAAAGAAAACTGCTCCAAAAAACTTAACCTGGGACGCCAACGCCGACACCGACGCCGACGCCGAGGGTATTACATAAGCTCCCCCAACTTCGTTGAGGTGAGCTAAAAATGCATATTAAAAAAATATCAATCTCCCTCTTCTAGTTCATTGCCAATAAAATCATACAAAAAGAGCCTCTATCTACATCCATATTGAAGAAAATTTGGCCTAAGAACCACAGAATTAAATTCATGTAGCCTTATAAAAGATTCAAAATGAAAATTCTTTCCAAAAATCTTAAGTAACAGCCTTGCAGCATTACATTAAAAATGGCTTAAGGTACTTAATTAAAATACATGTACTTGTATCCTGACTAGCTAATTAAAAGCACAATTACCTTTTTACAGTAAATGTGCTTAAAATTGTTAATTAAAAAAAATTTACTTGTATTTTAATTGAAATCATATAAAATGTAAGAATACATGTATCTATCAATCTCACTTTTGCCAGTGTTGGTTTTCATGTTTGCTATGGAATTCTCCATTCTCGCCCTGAACGGGATCTCCACTCCAAACTGGTGCTGAGTTCCATTGTCAACCAACACAAAGTGGGTGTGATTCGGATCCAGGAAACTTTCCTTTATTCTCTGTTTCTTCCCTAGTCTGTATGAAGCAGGCCATTTTCCTCGACACTGTGGTAAAAAACATCAATGCATCTTAGAGTAAACTGTCATTCACATCAAACTTTGAATACTTTTTTTAATCCATTAAAAAATCTTTGGAATTAAAATTCAAAAAAGAGAATAAATTCAATACTTTTAATTGTGCTAAATTTTATAGTCTGTTAATATATGTAATATTTAAAAAAAATTATTATGTTGGATTCTCTTCCATTCTCTTTTTAGAGAAAAAAAATATGGGTGTGTGTGTATGTGTGTGTGTGTAGGGGGTGGGTTGTTTACCTCAGGATCAGTGAGGTCCTCTTTATTTTGTATGCAGCCCCACGTGGCCACCCCTATGACTATTATGGGGTTAGTGGAGGCTGACACAAGCCCATAATCTCTGACTGCTTCCCCCACATGTTTCATCACCCCAGCATTTGTCCCTCCTGTAATGATCCAGGCACCTAGAAAATAGAACTAGACTGAAAACTAGCACAGCTATAACCTTAATAATTACAATGCAATATACAGTCTAAATTTCATTCTAAATCACATTCATTATATTTAAGGAGGCTCATTACACCACTTTTTGATGACGTACTACACAAAAAAATAAACCTCCATTGTGTCGACCGGTTTGCTCAGGGGACGAGTTGTATAGGTACCTCTATAATATGACCCTGACCTTTAAAACGCTTTAAAAATAGATGAAACATGCGGTGTTGTAAACAGTGAAAACAAAGTAACGGATTCATTATGCATAAACCAAAAAGAATTGCTTTTAGGCAGAAACAAAAGAAAGCAACAGTCAAATCTTCGCCAAACAAGTAATGTCAATTTCATAGCCATGCATGCAGTGAACTCTATCAATCACTGACATGTATGTATGGAGGAAATTCGAGTTAAAATCTACAACCTTGTTGAAATTAAAATTTTATTTAATTGCGCTATTTACTGTGTTGGTGTTAATTTATATATTTGTTTTATTGATTTAAATGTATACTCCGGCAATTTAAAGCTTTATTCTGAATTTTAGATGTAATGTCAAACGTTCCATAGTGTTTTGAGTCTTGGCTAATTACGAAAGATAACTCTTGAAAGTGGACTTTTTATACCAAATATTTTTTCAATTGGATTTTTCATTTCGTTTAAACTTTCTTCATTCAATTTGACACATGTAATTCATTGAAATACATTCCTTGTCTCTTCAGAACACATTTTTCAAATGTTTTATGCATAGATTAACAAGATAATGACATTAATTGTTTTCTAGGAGAAAATTATTTTTTCTAATAAAATTATTATTAGGTATTATGAGGTATTTTCACTGTGTGTACTTGTCTTAAGAAGATGCCCATCATTTGACACTGAAAGTTCTGAAATTCTGTGAATAATAAACCTGAAATAAAACATTTCACTAAAATAAAACAAAAACTAAAAAATTCTATAAAAAATATTTATGATATCAATATCCCCATCTGGATATTTGACATCTACATTATAAGTGGTGCTGTATTGAAATCTAAAATAAACTGTGGATGTAATGAGCCACCTTAAAATTGAATTCATTCTGACTTCATGGTTCAAATTTTGATTTGAGGTAAGTGTTTTTAACTAAAAAGTTTGAATGGCAAATCAATGGTCCCTATCAATATAAAAATCCCCGTTTTTACTTCCCAGGAAAACTAAAAAATTTTACCCTGTGCTTCTATCAAGATTAATTTCCCTTATTTAACTCAAACTTGTGAACATGTAATTACACGCAAAATTACAGACCTGTACTGCGGGCCACCTTCATGAGACCACGCCTGAATTCTTCCTTGATTTTCTGTTTCATGGTGAAGTTTTTGGCCCCACCAGTGACTGAGATCAGGAGGTTGGGTTTCTCCAGTCCCCACACGTCCATCATCAGCTCCATCATGACGTCCATCTTGGTGTTCACATCCACACGTACATACTGTCATGTGAAAAAGTGTTAAGAATTAATAACATCTATCATTCATTTTGGAACTTCTACAGTAAAACTCGTTTAGTACGAACACGGATATTGCAAATTCACTAATATAGCGAAGTTATCTTGAATCCCTAGCTATATAGATTTAACAAATTCCTTATATACAGATATAACAAATTATGGATATAACAAAGTAATTTCATAGGTTCCAGTGACTTCGTTATAACGGAGTGTTACTGTTTATTTTTCAAAGAAAAAAGAAGTTATAAAGGTCTTCTTGAAGCATAATAGCTATTAATTTTAGAATTTGAACATTTTGATTATGTTGAAGATTCTGATATAGAAAGTGACAGTTAGTTAACATATGAACTGGTAATAATATATCTGAAATATTAAAATAAAACCTAAAGTAAACTTAAGATTGTACATATTTCATCAATTTAACAGCCAATTCCTAAACAAAACCCTGTAATTAAAATCAATTAGAAGTAATTTTCAGTGTCCATAAAACCTATATCACATTTCCTTAACAGAACATTACTAGCATATTTTTCTTACATTCCTCTCATTTTCTCCAAACCCCAGGAACTCAACAGTGCCAAAGGCATTGGTTCTGATGGCCCTGGTGTGGGTCTCTACCCTCCACTCCTCCAGTCCTGAGGCCCCAGGGGAGGATAATAGGGAGGTGTGGGCAGTCCGGGGGTAGCCACATTTACATATAGCTTCAATCTCTGTCCCAGCACTGCAATACAAAAATACAAGACCCTAGTGCTATGACCATAACAGAGACCATAACTGATGCTACACAAAGGTAAATATACAGTCTACTTCAGGCACTTCAAGCTGACTTTTGCAACTATTGCAGCTATAGGTATTCTGGAGTAATTTTGAAAAGCAAACAGGTATATAATACATGTATTTATATAAATAAATATATTTTTTAGTACGTAAGAAATTTCCATTCAATTTAGCACCAGGTATTTGCAAGAAAAAAGTAAGAAGGGTACATGTATTTACAAACTGAATTTTTGTTAAAAGTCAGAATTTTAGTGCACAGTTTTATGAAAAAATATATAGTAACATATTTTCAATTTTCATTGATATCTGACAACAGAAATCCAAATGTACATGTTCTCCAAAGCATATCAAACTGAAAGTAATCTGGATCAAAATTTTCAAATTGAATCTGAATTCCTGTATGATAATGTAAATTGTATACAGGGCATTGTTTGTCCCAATTTTATTTTTGGACTATAGCTTTCAAAGCCGAGCAAGAGTTATCTATCTTGAAACACAGCCCATTCGCACACAATATGTCATATCAGAGTACACTTTTAAATGGTTTTTAAGTTAAGTATTTCGTAATTTTGTTCTACTTGCTGACAAAAATTGTAAGTGCTTCGAGCAGTTCATCCAAAATAGGTGTGTCATAAAACATGATATTATGTGCATACTTGATAATCAAAATCAATAAGCATTGTCAAACTCTATATCTGAATAAATTGCATACTGGTTTTTTGTTCTTGCATGTGTCAAGAACAAAAATCTACTAAGGTATATTTATATAATACATTGTGCTTTTGATAGGGCAGAAACTAAAAATACAAGAGCACATATTACATGTATCAATATTCATCCATTGAAAAATATTCCAAGATAGAATCAAGCACAACTAGTTCTTTATGCATTGATAAAGCTTTACAAAGTTTCAAAGCCAACAACAGAGCTATTTTCATTGATTACATACATCATGTATATTCTGATCTACAATTCATTAAAATGTAAATTTTTCATGAAATGCAAACCATGGAGACAGCAAAATCTCTTGGCACATATCACCTTAAATTGCTAAGTGTATGTACTGTGAAGCAATAAGATATAAAAAGCATTCTAACTGCTGAGCAATAAATGCAATCTATAATTTTAAACACCAAAGATTGGGAAATTTCTGACACATTTAGTTTAATATCTGAATATAATGCATAGGTCTAAATATCAATATGAGAGGTTTTCAGTTATATAGTGCAAATTAAACAAACACTTTTATCATGAAAACATAATCATTCCACAATTTTCATTGTTAAATGTGCATGCTGCAAACTTATTAATATTTAATGCAACATCAAGAGATCTTATTAGGCCATGAATACATGTACATTGAGCTCCTGTGCAAAGGATAGAAAAAAAGAGAACAGTAAATGTAAAGTGTACAGAAGAGATTGGTACGACCAGATTGCTAAGCTTATAATATATATTCAGAAAAAATTTTATTTTAAAAAAAGTGATGATTATATTGTCGTAAATGTAAAGTGTACAACTTGCAAAGCCAATTTATCAAGAAACTGCTGGCAAGAGATTGGTATGACCAGATTGCTAAGCTTATAATATATATTTGGAAAAAATCTTATTTTCAAAAGTGATGATTATATTGTCTGTAAAGTACATTTAATAAAAAAAATAATGCCCCTACAGCTATCCTACATCAAAGTAGTCCCTAAGACCCAGAAGCTGGTGAATTTCCCCACCTATAATGATGTAATCCCACTAGTTACTCCTTCTATACCAGGTAGGGGTCTTTCTTAGGCCATACAGAGTTGTAGAGGTATAAAATGTCATTGCAAAAGTTCAAAGGCTTCTCGAGATATTGCACAGTAACAAAAGTGTAAAAACAGAGAATATTTGAATTTAAGAACTTGACCTTTTGACCTCAAGATCAATTATAGGGATCTTCCTTGGGTGATAGGGAGTTGTTGAGTAAAATTTCACTACAAAAGCTCAAAGGCTTCTTGAGATGCACATCCCTAGATGTAGCCGCCATCATTCCATGCAAGTTGCAGCACCATAGAACCTTACTGTAACTTACATGTTCATGTAGGGATGGACCTGCTTCAAAAGCTCAAAGCCTGTTACTCATCCAGAAGATGTAGGTCACAAGCAGTATGTAAAGCATGTTTGGTAATGTGCATTTCTAGATGCATTATTGAATCCATGCATGCCAAAATTATCAACATAGATAAGGTTGCTAATAACATTGACAAAACTTTAGGGGAAAACATGGTTCATAACTTTTTCTTTTCATGAGCAGTTCAAAGACAATATCTGTGGAAAATTATGTTCCCTCAATGCAGTTTGGATCTTGAAGTTATCTTACAATTTAAGGTGAAATCAAGTGAAAACAATATTCTTCTATCACAAAGTGTTTGACTTCATAAATCTCAAAATCTATTCTGCTTAGCAATCCGGCAAAAAAAGTAAATCTTGAGTGTGTTCAAGACTTACCCTTGGAGACTCTTGCCTGGAGATCTGATGGGAGGCAATGAAACACTACCAATCAAAACACAGTAAAATAATGCCAAATAACCAATCAAATAAAAACAGTTTAATAATGCCAAATAACCAATCAAAACACAGTAAAATAGTGCCAATTAACCAATCAAAGAACAGTAAAATAATGCCAAATAATATGAAAACATAAAATACATGATCTCATATTCAAAGACAGATAAAGAAAGATATTCATTCGATATTTGCTTTTAAGATCCAATACAATTTGTGCATTTAAACAAAACAAAAATGAGTATTTGAAAAGAAAAATTGCAGGAAATGCTACTATTCTAAAAAATAATAAAAAATGTTTTATGTATTTCATTGATATTCACTGGCAACATTAATCAACTATAATTTACCATGCAAGTAAAGCATATTTTTGGTAATCACAAACTGGTGTTCTGATTCTGTGAATGCAACCATGCAATCAATACACAATCCAAAAACAGTAATAGAACACATGAAAGGAAGAAGTCATAATCCAAGTAATAAATTGATAATTTAATGGATGACTATGACGTCCATGCAAAAAATTATATATCTATAAACCAATTTTAATTTTTAACATGTTTTAATTAATGTGCTAATAGTTGCATGTATAATCACGGTAATAAATCCTATATTCAAGTTCAATGGCAAGAATTAGGACAATGAAACATATTACAGACTTTTGCTATATTTTTCTAATGTTCATCAAGGTTGACCTTAAGACTCAAGTATGCCCCCCCCCCCCTGCTCAATTTGACTGATAAAAGAGGAACCCCAAAGCCCTTGCTATATCAATTTTTAGGAATGTAAAAAATGCTAAACAGATCCCATAATAATATATCATGTGTATGACAGTATGTTGATCTATTTCTACTGTATTTTTAAAACAAATTCCAACCACAGATAATTCACACGTCATACTGAATGTTTAAACCAATGTATTGATTTTATAATTATATTGAATACCCAACTAAAATATTAAACCTAGTTACCAAGTTCTCAAATTTCTAGTGTTTACTCATCTTTTCATAAATCATCAACTAGAATAGCTTAATCGGGTCTGTAAATTAACTATGTTCAATCCATAACCTATTGAATTTGAATTATCTAACAGTAAAAGGAGAACCTAGATCTCATGAACAATCTAGTGGGGGAGTATATTACACACAAACAATTAGGCCTAGAAAAAAAATATGTTTGTTTCCGCTTTCAGGCTGAAAAAATATAGGGTAGGTAGGTAGGCAATTTTTTTTTTTTTTTTGAAAAAAATTTGTTTGCTTGTTTAATCAAAACGTGTATAGAAGTAACATTAATGACAAAAGAAATGGTGTTTTCAAGCATTACTGTGACTTAACTTATAATAGAAAGGTGACCCAAACTTCTTTCTGTTTTGAAAAGCTTGCAAAGTTGGAGGCTATAATTCCCTGGTTGAAATCTTGCACATCATGGGACAAAAGCATTAAAAAAATATTTAGGGTCGGCACTATATAAATAAGGGTCGGTCGGGAAAGCGGAAACAAACATATTTTTTTTCTAGGCCTTATAGACTGGTTTGTTTGGCCTCTTCATGTCAATATAAATAAAAAAAGCTGTATACAGATAATTATACAATTCTACATAGAACATTCATTGTAGAACTACAATGTTTTATTGTTAGATTATTAAAACCATGTTCTGCTTGGAGCTTCTTTTTTCACACATTGAATGGTCTATAATGACACGTTCACACATTTTTTAATTGAAATTCACAAATGAGCCTTAAATTACTATGTCCTGCAATGCACAGAGGAAACTAATGTTCACAAAGTTATACATTCAAGGTACACTAAATTCTCTCCAATCAAAACAAATATTACTATGGAAAAATCCAAAACTATTCTTTCCAGATATGAATCTTTATTAAATTAATGATTTGGGAGGTACATTTTTGAGGAATAAATGCCTATAAGGAGAGCCCTGAGTTACTAACTGCTCCATCAGTGGGGAAAAGACAGTAAATCTATCAATAATGTTATGTTCACTTTCAGAACTTGACTAGAAAGTGATTTTGTTTTCTTTTGTTAGTCAGAACTTGCTCAAGGAAACAAGCTTTGGATGTATAATTACCTGTTAACCTCCACTGGTTTTTCTACAAACTTTTTACAGACTCTCATTTTGATGTTGTCACGAATCCATCTTTGTTCAAACGTCATATTCACCTGCAAAAACACATGGAGAAATTCATAATAATTATCCAGATATTTCTTATCTGATTAAGAAAATATTTTCTTTAACAGTGTTAAAGGGTGGAGTACGAAGGTTGTCCCAAAAAGTTGTAGACATTCAATATTTATAACTTTTTTAACATGCAATCAATATTAACCAAATTTTGCATAGACATAACATATTCAATGTTCTTTAAAATTGTGAATTCTTAAATATACATATCTATCATATTATTAATATTGTGAAGATCAAATGAAGGCCGATATGGTGTATTGGTGCAGGAACAGAATTCGGAATAATTTACGCCCAAAACTATAATTACATTTTGAATTGCTTTATTTCTTTGGTACTATGTAAAACATTGAACTCAAATTTAAATCAGTGAAACCAGAATCAAAGTCTGAATAACATGTCAAACTGATTTGGATATCATGTTTATATACATCAGAGACATGCAAAAAAGAGTACAGAATTAACATTTCACACTAGATACTAATAGAGAAGTTGTTTTTTAATGTTATGAGAATCGATGATAGTTTTTCCTCAATGCCGATAATTATTTATACCGCATGTAAAAAGTAGAGTACTGTAAACTTGTTAAACGCAGACAGTGGGGAATTCGAACAATCTGAGCCACGAACTACGTCAAACAATGTGTATTCTTTGTTGCCTAAAAGGTAAGGTGATCTTTCGACTAAATTTCGACGTAAGTTTGAAACTTCAAAAAAAAAATTTTAAAAAAAAATGGACAGTTAAGTGAATTTGAATAAGTCCCTTAGTCAAGAGCGGATTTTCACTTAAAAAAAATACTGGATATTAACAGATGCGTGTGTAGCAGAAAAAGAGATCATGACGTTATAAGAGACGTAAGTTTCGCTTGCTTTCGTGCGCCGATGTACACTTACATGCTTTCTTATTTTTTCATAATTTTCTTATTAAATGTGATATCATCATGAAACTTGAAATGCATGATCATAAAATGTTACTCTTTGCTAATTGCTATGATAAGAAAAGAAATTTAATTTAGCAAAGAGAAACTAAACTGTTTTCCCTGTCTACGACTCTTTGGGACAATTAACCCTCTTAACTGCTTTGCTATTTTTTTGTCCCCCGCTTGAAAAGTGGGGGATATTAATTTGGGTTTGTCCGTCCGTCCGTCTAGCTGTCCGTCCGTCCGTCTTTCTGTCTGTCTGTAACGCTTTCGTTTCCACACGATATCTCGAGAACCCTTTGAGCTTTTGCAATGAAATTTAGCATAGCAACTCCCTATGGACTAAAGAAGACCGCTATTGATTTTGAGGTCAAAAAGTCAAAAGGTCAAGGTCATAAATAAGCAAATTCTGTCTATTGTAACACTTTCGTTTCCACACGATATCTCTAGAACCATTTGAGCTGTTGCAATGAAATTGTACATAGCAACTCCCTGTGGCCTAATGAAGACCCCGATTGATTTTGAGGTCAAAAGGTCAAAGTTCAAGGTCGTATTTATACATTCTGTCTGTGTGTAACACTATCATTTCCGGGCGATATTTCAAGAAGCTTTTGAGCTTTTGCAATGTAATTTTATACCAAAACTCCCTATAGGACCTCTCTCACCCCTCTCAAAGTGCCCCGCCCCGTTTGTTTTATTAGTATTTATAGTATTACATTACATGTCGCTATTTTTAGCACAGGGGCATGAGGAGAGTTATTGCGTATAAAATAGGTTCTCGGCGGACATTTTGTTACAATATACAAACACTTTAAAAAAGCAAACTTAGAACTGTTTAATTTAATAAAGGCTAAATAAATCAAACACCATGGATTGTGTAAAATTTTGACAATACCGAACATGAATATCTACATGTATGTGACTTCACTTCTGCATAAACTTAATGCCATGTAAAGCGATTCCGTGGTCTAGTGGTATTATGTTTCTCGCTTAGCATGTGAGAGGTCCTGAATTCAGGTCCCGGATGGACCACTTTTTGTCCCCCGCTTGAAAAGTGGGGGATATTAATTTGGGTTTGTCCGTCCGTCCGTCTTTCTGTCCGTCTGTAACGCTTTCGTTTCCACACGATATCTCGAGAACCCTTTGAGCTTTTGCAATGAAATTTAGCATAGCAACTCCCTATGGACTAAAGAAGACCCCTATTGATTTTGAGGTCAAAAGGTCAAAGGTCAAGGTCATAAATAAGCAAATTCTGTCTGTTAAAACACTTTCGTTTCCACACGATATCTCTAGAACCATTTGAGCTATTGCAATGAAATTTTACATAGGAAAAATCTTAAATCAAATTTTTACAATAGTATAGAAAGAAATAAACTCGCTTTCACCACAAAACTCAACTCCCTGTGGCCTAATGAAGACCCCTATTGATTTTGAGGTCAAAAGGTCAAAGTTCAAGGTCGTAAATTTATACATTCTGTCTGTGTGTAACACTATCATTTCCGGGCGATATTTCAAGAAGATTTTGAGCTTATGCAATGTAATTTTATACCAAAACTGCCTAGGACGTCTCTCTCCCCTCTCAAAGTGCCCCGCCCCGTTTGTTTTATTAATATTTATAGTATTACATGTCGCTATTTTTAGCGCAGGGGCATGAGGAGAGTTATTGCGTATAAAACAGGTTCTCGGCGGACTTTATGTTCTTATTACATCTATTAGAACTGTTTAATAAAGGCTAAATAAATCAAACACCATGGATTGTGTAAAATTTTGAGAATACCGAACATGAAAACATGAATATATACAGTCATGTATGTGACTTCAGTTCTGCATATACTTCACTCCGTGTAAAGTGACTCCGTGGTCAAGTGGTTAGGTCTCTCGCTTCAAATGTGAGAGGTCCCGGGATCGACTCTCGGTCAGACCGTTCTTTTTTTTTTTTTTAAATACTTTTTTACTCAAGCCCTAGAGGGGCTTGAGTTATCTAAAACGATGCTAAGTCATCGATTCACTCAGTTAATATACACGAAAAGATATTATTTTTGTAGATAAAAATTTTTCTAGAAACAAAAATGAAGCTTATTTTGAAAAAATCTGTATATTCAAAGATACTAAGCGTTAAATGTCGGATTCTTTTCTATGGCGAATGAACAACGAGTGAAGCTCCGCAGCCGTAACAGTTTCTATACAGAGATTTCGCGCTTTCCTTTGCGTAGGAATCTCAGGTAACTTTTACAGACGCTGACAAAGCATCATTGGACGAGTCCACTGTTTACTCTGAAAGGTGACGCAGGTCACCCCAACGTTAACAAATTCTACTATGCATGGCCAGAAAATGTATGGTTGTACCCCCCATATTGAAATTGCTTCTCACGGGCCTGAGAATGATGTGCATGTGCACTTTGAAGGACAGTAAAATTATAGCATAACATCAATGATAAATTCCCCCTCGTATTTTTTTTTTTAATTTCAAAAGATCGTTCTAGTTATCTTCAGATTTGGTAACGAACCTATATAACTTCTTTTGGATTCATACGGATGTCGCACAGCCAGATGAACCCGTGTGATCGATGTTCTTCATTAAGCAAAAAAAAAAAAAAAAAAAAAAAAAAAAGTAAAAATAGAAAACAAACGCACATATAGTTTGAAGTGTATCAGGATAAAAAAATATTTCATTAAATTAAGAAACGGCCACTATGGTCTATAAAATATTATTAAAAGTGAGTAAGTAAATTCATCTTAAAAAGTAGTACTACCATTAATTATATCTATTCTAATTAAATGCAATGTATGAATTTTGTTTCATGTACATGTATTTTATTCAACAGAAGATTGAACTCGAGTCTTACTCGACAGCCCTTATCTTATACCATTTTAGGATATTAATGACACTTCCTAGTTGACTTTCTACAGCTTGATAATCTCTGACGTTTTGTCAGTATATACTTGTTTTTTACTAAATGATAGTATTCAGCATGTGAAATGAAAAATTTATGAGGTTATAAAATCATCATTACAGTGTGATAAATATTCCATATGAAAAAATCTTCTATACACATAATAAAGAATAAGCAATCAAATCTTTATATGCATATTGACATACATGTATTTTATTTCCTTCAGTATACATGTATACATTTAATAATTCTACAAATTCAGTCAGGGGGAGTCGACTTTTTCCCTAAGCGGGGGACACGAATTCTCTGAATTAGCTTGTTTTATGTTAAATCCATTTAGATCTCAAAGTGTTAATATAAGGCTACAGCAATTATATTGTATTTGGTTTGACTAATTATTATAGTGCACAGATGTTTGCATCAATTTTGACTTAAAATATTTCTATAAATATAGAATATTCGGTTTTGTAAATTATTATGCAAATATACACATGTTCTCCAATGTATAGATCTAGATCTACCTGCTCTAACAAATTCAATTAGATAGTTGCTATAATTAACCTTCCATTGTATAATTCAGATTTTAATATCTATTTGTAGAGTGTACTAGTATATCTTGTAAATGCAATGGATTCATGAATTGCAGTTTATTTAATTAGTATATATCCTACATTAATAATTAAGATCTCTGTCATGTCTAATTTTATCTCCCAAAGGGATCCAGTATATACATTTTTAATGAGACAAAGTTTATGGACATGCATCAGTATACAGAGATATATACAGAGAGAGAAAATTGATACTGAAGTGAAGGGTATTATAAATTCTTTTGATGCCATTGGATATGTTTTTTTGTTCTTTTATAGCTCTATCAATCTATTATTTATGAAAACTTTTATACTATTTCAGCTACTCCACCCATTATGTACTGAGGGGATACACCATACATACTATATATATAGTACAGGAAATATCAGAGATCAAATATACTTTGTTTTGATATTTATATATCATGTATATAGGTTATACATAGTAATGCCCCCATCTGAAATAATCTTCTTTCTTCAGAAATAGAATATAATAAACCTTATAATGTCATCATACAATAAAAAAATATCTTGCACCATTCTCCCCACTAAAAAATGGTGTCATATGAAATTAAAAAGTAGCTGCATATCACGGCTTCAAATGAATCAGACAACGATATATAAAAGCATCATTCTAAAATACTGTAAAATCACATATTTGCATGGGGTCAAATCTTCAAGATCTGAGGAAAAAAATATTTGTTTGTGGGGACTTGAATTTGTGGTTGGAGACTCTTAACATGGTTAAGTAGTGAATGCATATGAAATTTTAAATTTCATGGTGGTCATAAATTTGTGGGTCTCTCCATGCTTCTAAAACAATGAAAATTACCCCCCCCCCCCTCAAAAATTAGTGATTTCACTGTCAAAGGAAAATTAAGTTTATTTCAGTTTGAAGTTTCCATCCTACCTCTGGGGCAGCCCCCACGTTTTGTGCATCAACCGCCTCCTCATTGAAATGGAGACTGACTAAACTCTTGTTGCGTTTAGGTGTCCCCATCTCGTATGATATGGTGTCGGCCGGGTCAGCTGGACTGACCCTCGTCACTTTCTTCTCCATTCAGTTAGGCCATCCTTCCTGTTTTACATGTTGATCAACAGCTTATTGTGTCATTCTGAAAATAAAAAAAATAATCAAAAAATATGTTCAATTTGACACGGGTTGTTCCCAAGACCTAGGCCTCGGGGAATATCCCCTCCTATACTGATGTAATCCGCCAAGTTATTTTGATATTCCTCCTAAACTTTCAATTAGGAAAGGAACCCCAGATCCCCTTCTACTTTCCCAAAGTCCCCTACTTTTTCATATGAATTCCTAATGACGTCATATTCAGGTCATATTTCCATAATGGTACTTCTTCATACCAAATATTCTTTCCTGGTCTATTACAGTCATAAATTTAACTAATATTTAAGCCAGTTTCAAATCTTTTTGACATTTTGTTTGAAAACATATAATTTTATCGGCACAATAAAGCTAAAACAATTTATACCTAATTCTCTGCCAAATTGTGCAATTCAGTAAATGATCGTTTTGAATGATCGTTTTGATAGATCATTCAGATTGATTGGATACAGTATTGATACATTACTGTAGTGTAATTTCTGAATCAAAGTGAAATCCACATCAGACAAAGTTAAGATCACACCTTTGCTGGTCCAATGTGCTTAGTTTTTAATATATATTAGCTATATTTAAATTATAGTTTTGCTGACTTAAAAGAAAATGCAGAAATTTAAGTCAAACATTTAATTATATAAACTTGCAAGGTGAACAAAAATACCATTGCTAAGATTTTTTAGTTTTTAAACATGTTAAACAATTGGACTTTAATTAAGGCTGGGCATTCATATTTTAAGAAAAAAAAAGAATTGCAATATATATATATAAGTAAATCATGTATCTATATACTGGTGTCTCATTATATCGCGGTACTTAATTCTTTTGCATAAAAAGTGTTATTCCAATTTTTTACTTTAACTTTTATCAAACGATATTTGTAATTCTAACTTTGGCCTAACTTTTTAGTGTTCTATTATTTTCCAAACATGCATCATTTAATTTGTGGTCTATTTTTAAAACAGGAAGTCTTATTTACCTCCTAAATTGGAGAGTCTCATTGTATCGCAGTATGGGGAAACATGGAAACTTGTAGATGAAATGGACTTCAATTTTTATTTTGGAATTTACGATGTAATTCTACATGAAAAATAAACAATTTTACAAACTAAAGACATTTAAAACGTGAGCTTCATTATAATTTTTACTAGGTTATAATTTAATGGTCAAAATATAATAAAAACGGGACTTGAAATCTGTAAAATTACGTTTTATATGAATATTTTTTTTTTCAAACGGATGTTCCATACTTTTAAATCATCGAAAATGTCAACATATAGACAGCATACATATTGTCCATCAACAAAAAGAATATAGGCTATGTATCCAAATTTTTGCGATATACCACGATACAATGAAACCCGCGATATAATGAGAATTGAGTATACATGTACCCGAAACCATGAATGTTTTTATTCTCTAATTTTAATTAGATATTAAAAGCAAATTTCGAATTGACAGAGGGCACCTTGTATGAAAATTTAAAGCATGATTATCAACAAAAGACTCTTCTCAGAAATTTATTATTAGTAGAATTATATTCCAACCCCATATTCAAGCCCAGACAAAATATCTCTGGTTCAACAAAATGAACTGTAGTTTAATTAGTTCAGACAGGCTCAGTAAAACATTTTGGATTGAGTGGATAAGAATTCATACATAAAATATCATACAAGTCTTTATTACATAGAGTGCACCACTTTCATAGTTCCAACCCGCCACCTGGTTAGATAGAACCTATCACTGTACACTCATTGTAACCATTCTTGACAAAGAAATATTGTAAGATATGCCAAATGGATTCATGTGATGACAAAATATGTATTGAATAAAAATGTTAAGATGTACAAAAAATACGGAACGATAATTTATGTGTATTTGTAAGGCAATATGCACCATTTTCAGGCTAATCAAAACACCCATTCTGCAGTCTGGCCGCAGTTTACAATCTTATCTTGTAAATAAATGAGTCCAAATTTCGATAACCTACCATTTAACTTCCTCCAAACCTACTACATCTAATTCAACTGATGCAGACGCACATACTTACCAATATTCTAAAAATATATTCCTATTAAACATTTTAAATAGATCTATCTCCATTTTATTGAACGAAAAGTCAAGTAAACAACGTGAATCGTCTGGTTGTGTATCCGAGTGTAACGCGCGCTTTCCTATACAGGAAGTGCAATATTTTTTTCAGATCGATTAAAACGCTATAATGACTCGGATGGGCACTATGCACTCGTTGCTAAGCGATGACGTAAAATTGCTTGTCATGAATGTAAATTTATTTTAAAAGATTTCGATCTAAAAATAATTGGTTTGGGGAGAGAAATGAACCACAAATCCTCAAAATTTTAAGAAGTTAAAACGTATGACTGCCTGTTATTTAATTGTTATTTTAAAATATATAGGATTCAAGGACTCTAAAAAAATTATATTTCATGAAGATTAAAGCCATATATATATGGCGAAGTACAATTATACATGTTATAGTTTTAACAATGCCAGGAACCACATACATGTACATTTAAATAAATAAATAAGTAAATAAATAAATAAATAAATAAATAAATAAATAAATAAATAAATAAATAAATAAATAAATAAAGTGAGGTAAATGAATTTTTGTAACTGTTGTAGTTTTAACAATGCCACCAATCATAGCCATACTTTTTCACAATCTGCTAATAATAGATTTTTAAAAAATATCTTTATAACGCAATTGACTTTGTAATTTACGGAAAAGTTCTATCTTTATATAAAATAATGAAACAAATAATAAGTTCTTATAATTTTAGTCTAATAATTTTCATTGTCATTTGCGGATATAACTAATGTGGGGGGGGGTTTTAAACACCCCCCCCCCCGCTCATTAAAATTTTTTTTTTTTACAAGTGCCATTTTATCATTTTGTTGCATTGGTAAGACTCTAATAAACATGAACCCTTTGTTTGTACAACTGTGAAATATACATCAACTACGTAACAGGAAATCACTTTCCGCTTGAACGCACACAATACACAGGTAATCAACAGAGAGAGTGCCTCAGAGATCGGGTAGTCCGTGCACCTAGTGAAATCACAAGATCACAGTACAGTATAGTCAGGTACCAACAACAGAAAACTGCTTAGTTACGGTGCTGCTCAGTTATATTCTTTTGCTGATAAAAAATGCATGTTTTTTAAACAATGAATAAACTATTATTCAGTTTTTTTTTACCGTTTTAAAAATTAAATTAATATAATTTTTTTTTTTTTACAAAACCAGGTTGGCTTAGCAAACCCCTCTAGTTTTGACAGATTCTCCAGTTTATGTTTTCTAATTTTTTCTTCAGTTTGAAATTTCATTTATTGTACATGTGTGTTTATATTCCAAATCATATTGACAGTATATAGTTTATACTCAAGTAAGTTGAAAACACTATGAGTTAGGGATTCTGAATAGAATTCAATTTTTAATTTTTTTAGTGTTTAAAAATTATGCACATTAGTTATATCTTGGAAGTCAGCTTGACATATGAAAATTAATTGTAGGGGCATAAAATTATAAGAAACTTAAGTCAACTTTGTATTCATTAAATTTATATAAAACAGTTTTTTAAAGCAAAGTCTAAAGTCTTGTATTAAAGTGAAATTAAATTGAAAACATTTTATTAAAAATCTTTGATGATCAGTCTTTAAAAAGGCTACAAAAAGTACCCCAAAATGCTGGAAAATGCACCAATTAGAACCATTTAATACAAAATTTTGTCGGGGGAGGCCCCCCTTATTTATTTATTTACATGTACTGTATGTGGTTGCCCCCCCCCCCCCCAAAACTATAACATGTATAACACAGTGGCGGATTCAGGGGGGGGGGAACCCCCCCGCGCATAATTTTTTTTTTACAAGTGTCATCATTTTGTTGCATTGATAGGACTCTAATAAACACAGATCCACTGTTCTGTGCAACTGTGAAATATACATCAAATACGTAACAGGAAATCACCTTCCGCTTGAACGCACACAATATACACAGATAATCAAAAGAGAGAGATCAGGGTAGTCCGTGCATCTAGTGAAGTCACAAGGTCATGTACAGTACGTCATGTAGTCATGCAGGTGCCAACAATAGAAAACTGTATAGTTACGGTGCTGCTCAGTAATATTCTTTTGCTGATTAAATGCATGTTTTTTTTTAACTATTTGAATAAACTGTTATTCGGGTTTTTTGTTTTACCGTTTTAAAAATTAAATTAACACAAATTTTTTTTAAACAAAATTGATCAGGTTGGCTTAGAAAAACCCTCTAGTTTTGACAGATAATCCTCAGTTTATATAATTTTTTCTTCAGTTTGAAATATCATTAATAGTACTTGTGTGTTTATATTCCTAATCATATTGACAGTATACTCAAGTAAATTGAAAAGCACTAGTTTGGGATTCTAAAAAGAATTTAATTTTTATTTTTTAAAAAAGTATTTAAAAAGTGCACATCAGTTCTTAGAAGTCAGCTTGACATACGACCATATTAATAGAAGGTGCATTTAAAGTGAAGACAACTTGAAGTCAACTGCTTGTATTCCTAAAATTGTCAGATTTAATATTTTTTTAAAGCAAAGTCTAGAGTCTTGTGTTAAATTAAACTGAAACATTTTTTTTCCAAATTCTTAAAAATTTGTGATGATCGGTCTTAAAAAAGCTACAAAAAGTACCCAAAAAATTCTGAAAAATACACCATTTAAAACAAAATTTTATCGGGGACACCCCTCCCATGCCTTCCCCTTCGGCCCTGTGGGCCTCACCTCCCTCCACATGGATCCGCCACTGGGTCAATAAGAATTTAACTCATTTTTTGAAATCGCGCGCGTACGTTTAGTTATGACAAAAAAACTTTAAAACTATAAATTAACACCCCCTTTCCTATCGAGATGCAATAAAAAAAAAAACAACAAATGAATGGCATCCCAGTAGCGAATTTAAAAGAAGAAATCATCTGCATTCCCCCCTTAACCCCAAATTAATTTAAGTTGAATATTCAACATATTTATCATGGTTCCTTCCATTATACCCATGGGAAGAAATGAATTATTGGAAACATATCATTGCAATTTTAAGCAGATGGAGCTTCTTGAAGATATCAGACACATCGGTTTTTGAGCAAAAACACTAGCTGTGACCTTAATAAACTATTTGAGATTTTATAATTTTTCATTTTTGCTATGGGTACCAATATGCGCCCCATTATTAGTAGATCTATTTTTGTACTCATATGAAGCAGAATTTTTCCAAAATCTTAAAAATTAGGTAAGTCACCATTTCGTAAATTCTTTGATCGATACAATGTTGGACCTTGTCAACAAAATAATACTCAAGTCAAATGCTGACTGACGTTTTCTTTACCAGTAATTGTTAGGCCATAATATTCTGGTACACATACTGAACTATCAATGGATTTTCCCGTTATTTTCCGATCATGACGAGGAGCACACGGAGGGTGTGATCGGTCGGCAGCAGGCAGGGGATGCTTACTCTCCCAAGGCACCTGATCCCACCTCTGATTTTTTAGGTCCATGTGTGCCCTGCTCCAATTTTGTATTTTTTAAATGGACTCTTGAGCTTGAATACTGTTCGTCATCTCCATATATTTCATTATCAGGAATGAACGATAAAAAGTAAAATGGTCTTCTTAGAAGACTTCATAAATTACCTTAAAAAATTAGAATTCAGTAACTTAGAATTTCTGTAGCTAGCACTTTGACAAGACCTCCATGCAGGCTAAATTATTCGACACCCTTAATTTACCTTCAAATAATTCTGGAACTGCTTTTGAAAACGAAAGGGTATGTGCACAACGAATACACATATCTGAGCATTCAACTGAATGTACCTTTCACACAAGTTAAGGGTGAGGTGTTTATGGACCGCAAACATAATTAGCTAAATTTATCGTTATCACGTAAAATCAAGCATAGGTTAAAGTTTATTTAACCAGCCCATGTGATATTCACATATTTTCTTTAAAAATTCAATTTGGTTCATACATTTTAAAATAACTTTAATACAGTTAGCACCTTAAATAGAACAGAATAACAAAATTTACAGTTATCGCCTCAGTTTATACACTGTAAAATAATAAAATCGTTTGCATTTCTGATAACCATTTCTTGAAAACCAGACATCTTCAAACCAGACTCTAGAGACAGACCTGCTTCAACTTAGGACGAAAAAACCAAAAACTCTCAAACTTAAATAGAATTAAATGCGATTGAATGGAGAACAGGAGGAAGACAAACAGTTTAGTCATATCTGGAAATGAGTTTAAGGACACCAGCTGTTGTATGCTAATTAAAACGACAAAGAAACCGGTAAATCGATGGGATCGTGTACAGTTCTGATTTACGATTTCCTCGCACGTCTTATCAGCCCTCTGGAAGCGGGACTTTGTCTCATTTTTTTTCTAGAAACAATTATAAGACAAAATATTTCGATCATTTCCTATATTTCATAAAAGTGCTCATTAAGACATGGATATTGCTTGCAGTTTTTTTAATGCTTGTATGCGCTATTGATGAAATTGTCAACAACTCTTTTATCTGCACCCAAAAAGAAATGCATCGGTAAAATTTTGTATGATGAATTAATCTTAAATTTCTAAGCTTGCGTTGAACAATTTTCTACGAAACAGTATTACAAAAGGTAACTGCATATCTACATGGTTTGAGCAGGATGAAATAAATTTATATTTAAGCAAAATTAAAGTAAAATCACCACAGTTTATCTTGCAGCAGGCTTTTCAAAAACTGCATTCCAAGATCCTTGTAAATCAAAAGTTTATATTGACATCGTCACCCCCATGGCAATATAATTTGTATAATGACGTCACTGATCATTAATTTTTGCTAACCAAATTGATACCAAAAATAAATCACTGAAATTTTTACGGTATGAAGATGCATGTAAGGAACAGAATGAATACTGTTGTAATATACAAGATTTAATTATTTATTAAGTATATTTGAAATAGTAAAAATTTGGAGGAGAGCAAACAAAGACCTCCGAAAACATCAGAGGTGGGATCAGGTGACATGGAGGAGTGACCATCCTCTGCAGACCTTTA